TATATATATATATATATATATATATATATATATATACGTATATATATATATACATATATATATATATACGTATATGTATATATATATATATATATATATATATATATATATATATATATATATATATATATATATATATATTTCCACGAGATTTTATTCTATTTTAAATAGTTTAAGTATTTAAAATGGATTAAAAATCATGTCTATATCCGGAGCTCCCATCCCCTGTTGTTTTATACAAGAATATTCGAGAAAGTTTAGGGGAGATTACTCCCGATTTATTTTTGTGCACGATTACAAGACTTTCTCTATACTTCTTATATACGTCTACTTTCTCAGAACATGGAATTGGAAGAATTACAATAACAAAATGTTCCAAATTGCAACCATCTTCAACGGGATATACCCACATAAAGATGACACTGAGAATACAAAATTAGTAAATTATAAAAAACACTGGGGTCGGCGTGGTCGAGTCGGTAAAGCTCATGGTTGCTAAACCGAAAAGTCTCGAGTTCGAACCCTCGGGCAGATGAGGCTCGTTAGCTGGGGACAGCCACTCTTCTAGGAGAGACAACTCCAAAATTAAATAACTGCTGCCTTGTAGTTTGTTCTTGGTTGGACAAAGGCTATGGAAGCAAATCCAAAAAGAAAAGCAGGCTGAAATCGGAGTTAATGGCCTCAATGGCGCATAACCAGTTGACACGTAACGCTTAATTGTGTTGGAGGCGTGGTCGAGTCGGCAAAAAGCTCATGGTTGATAAATTCGAACAAAGTCTCGAGTTCAAACCCACTGACGGATAAATCTCGATCCCCTTCAACACAAATAATTAAGAACGAAGAAGAAGAAGATAAAAAACACAATATTTTAAGTGTTCCTTTAATTTTTCTGTATAATGTAAATCAAGTGATATATTAAAGGCAGCATATCTAACAGCACGAACAATTTCAGGGCTAACACACAAGTATGTATTTATATTATAACATTGAATCTGACTGCTCAGTTGGCTGAGGAACACCGCGAATAAGTGGAATAGAAATCTGAATATTTTCCTCACAATTCCTTTGAACAATTATATAAAATATGGTCTGGATTTAAAAAAAAATTTATTATTTTCCTGCGGTTCATCCTTATTGATTTGCCCGAAAAGTATTAGTTTACCTTGAAAAGTCTACGCACTATTATTATATGTACATATATATATATATATATATATATATATATATATATATATATATATATAAATATATATTATAGGATGTATGAATTATTAAAATAGTTTAATATTTGACTTATTCCTATAACTAACTTTACTTTAGGCTAGTAAGAAGAGCTGTTGTCTAATTTAGAGTTGCTAAATTGGTCTTGCCCATACATTCGTAGAAAATTTGCAACATGTCCAAAAGACATTTTACGGACAAATTGTAAACAGGTTTATTAAACATACAATTTTTATTTCACCAGAAATATGTGAAGGATCAATATGCATGTGCACTACAAAGACATAACACTTGTGTATATGATTTGTAAATGTAATTTTACTAAAAATCCTAACTAAGATAAATTGTGGGTATAATGATCGGGATAAAATTAGAGCAGCTTTCTTCATTACCCCAATATATAACTGAATCAAAGTGGTCAGGGATTTCACCCAATTCGCTCTCTACTTCATCATCGCCTTCCGTTTGGGATTGTCCAGAAATTATAAGCTTATTTTCATAAGTCAACGCACCATATAGTATGGACTCAAAATGCCAGAGTTTCTTAAGGAACTTAAACTCAAATGCTCTCTCTCCAGATGGATGTAACACCATCCAAATACTTCCGTTGGTCTGTAAAATGTAGTTGTGTTCGTCATTCCTGAAACTAATTAAATGTTCTGCTGGTCCATTGAGACTATCTAGTCGGGTCCAAACATTGGACAAAATATCAAAAAGATGAACGGATGTCTGATTAATGTTGTCGTCACTTTCAGAGCAGAATAATAAAAGGTAATTCTCTACAACCATAGCATGTGTGACGTGTACATCTTCTGGAAATTCAGCAACGTGTTTTATACAAGGACTTGAGTCTTTTGGATTTATCTTACATATAGCTTGATCATCTTTGTTTATGATGCAAATAAACTCTCCGTGTGAAACTAATAGCAAATTGTCGCTTGGCATTTCCTTCAGCTCATACCAGCTGTTGCAACTGAATGCAAACATCGTACAAGGTTCAGATGGAACGGCTGCTTTTCTTCCTGTGGCGTAGAGCTCTCCAGCAAAAGAGACGAGTTGAACATTTACGCTTAGGTATTCACATTCAGAAATATAGCACCACTCTTCATTGCGTGTGTTTAGCACGCAAAAACCTTCATACATTCTAAAAATTACCCCTACTTGAACGTAACCACTGCATGTTCTATGTATAGCCGCTGATGGCCACTGACCGTGTCTGTAGACTTGCACATGACTTTTTAAAGCGTTCAAAATTAAATCTTTTGAGGCAGTGTCGTGTGACAATAATTCCATTTTGTACACATGAACTAAAACAGCAGGACTTACTAGACACGTCCTCACTAACTTCAGCAGTTCTGTGAGTTTTTCGCTTCTGATCGAATGTTCAGTGTCACAGTGGGGAATTGGTTCATTAGAAATTATTTTATCCAAATCAAGTTGAGTGAATTTGTAATCATTTTGATTTCCAGTATTGCTGACAACTTGTTTAAGTTCTTCTATAATCGTGTTATTAACAGATCCCGTTTCAGGAGAGTAAAAGACCCATTCGATTACTGATTCAAGAACTAAATCTTCTTTGACAACAAGAAGATCTTGGCTTTTTATCAAATCCTTGACTTCATTACAAGATAATTTTAGAAATACTGGTAAAAGTCTTAATTTTTCAAAGTTTTTCAACATAAATATTTGAAGCTGCTTGAGAACATTTTCTGAATCTAAAAGCTTTGCAATTGTGTAGATATTTTCCCAAGTGTCCATCGTAATAGTTTCTATAACAAAGTTCTCACAACGTTCAACTAAAACCCTTATCTGCAGCATAGTTACTGCTTTCCATACTTCAAAATGATTTTCTAAAGTGAAGACTATTTCACCAGTATAAAGTGCGTTTAGAATCATTCGGAAAACTTCACCAGAAACACCATTTAAAACACAAAAGTTCTCATTAGCTTCTTTCATGCCAGAACGAAACAGCGCGTTGAAAAATTCAGAACACGCTGCTAACATAAGTCGGTGACATTCGAAGTTTTCATCTTCGATTTTGACAACAAAGTCAACCAGTATTTTCTCCGTCCAATCTTTATTCAGACAGTCGAAGATATTTCTGCCGATGATTTCTTGAGTTTTCGTGGTGTTATTGTAGCTGCGGTAACAGTTTACAAAATTATATTATATATATATGTATATATATATATGCACACACACATATAAATATGTATATATATATATATATATATGTATATATATATATATATATATATATATATATATATATATATATATATATATATATATATATATATATATATATATATATATATATATTCTACGCGTTAATTATATATATATATATATATATATATATATATATATATATATATATATATATATATATATATATATATATATATTTATATATATTTATATATTTATATATTTATATATATATATATATATATATATATATATATATATATATATATATATATATATATATATATATATATATATATATATAAACATATACACATATTAAAAGTATGTTGAGAACAGAAGACAATGATCCATCTTAATTAACCCCTGCATATTGTTAAAGGGGCATTTTATTTGAAGATAATATTTGCTATTATCTCTATTTGTTTTAATCTTCACAATAAATTAGATAACTGAATATTATCTTTAAAAATTAATTACCAAATGCTTTTACAATAGTGTTTAACTAATCTGATTTTAATAATAATTATAATATTAATAATATCAATAATTATTAAAATAATAATAATTTTACTATATATTTAAACCTTTGGTAAAATCAATCCCAATTTATGTGATAAGTTCCCTGTGAGTTGTCAATTATAGTAAATAATGTAATGATATTTAATTTTCTTTTCATACAAATTAATTTAAAAGGGAACCATCGAACTTTCAAGCTAAGGTGAATCTTAAACTTCGTAACCATATTGGTGTTCCATACAAAATTCAGCAAGCCATGCTTTTCTTTTAGTTATTTTTAAAATAATCAATACTTTTTATTCAATATATTTTAAGAAAATATTTTTTTATATACATTTTGCTGCAAAATGTTATAAAACTTGTTATTAAAACAACTGTTTTGATTTTATATACTAAAACATTTATTAGAACTGAATTGCATAGCAATAAAGAACTGCGTGCATAATGAAAGCAAATAATTGTCGTACAATCTATCTATCTATCTATATACTACTAAAACTCAAGTTTGTTTCGATGTTTGAATATTTTTTGTTGTTTGTATGTTTGGTTACAGGAGATAATCTGCACTATGTGTTGTGCTGAACAATACGTGATTGAGAACAATGTTTTTTTTACCTAACTGTTAATCACAAATTAATTTAAAACGTTAATTAACTTTTTGATATATTCATTGGTAGATTAACCAAACTAATTATGCAATTTCAGAACAATGACTTTACTTATAGTGACGTCACATGACCTATTTACTTTTCTAGAACTACGGAAAGACTAGAGGCCCATTACATATTATAAAAACATGCACGGTGTAAATAAATTACTATCGTTATAAAATCCAGACTGGTTTTTTTTTTTGGACTCTAAAAAAAGAGTGATGTATTTGACGTTTTAGTATTTTTGTTAATAAAAAACATTTTTTTTAAAAAGGCAAAAGCAATTTGGTTTTTACGTGTAATTGCGACTTAAACGATATTCGATAGGCCAGCATAAATTTTATAATACAAAATGTCAACAAAAACGTCAACAGAACTAGGTCATGTGGTTCAAAAAACATGGTATCTGCAAAGTTTTGTAAACAAGTAACTAACGATCACAGAGTTCCTTTACAGCCAATCAATGTTTGTCTTACGAAAGTGAAACATCCGGTTATAACTTAAGCTTGATAAAAATAAAAAGAAACGTAGGCTTAAATTAAAAAATATATATATTTCTGAATTATTTTTAGGCTAATGTTGTTTTTTTTAACGGCCGCTATGAAGTCAAAATATAAAAAAAAATAACTTTTTTTTATCCAGTTCAACAATATGATGGAAGTATTCTCGTCACCCCGATGGCCTCCATTACGTATCTAATTAACTCAAACGTGTGTCACATTGCATTGCCATCGGATATTTACCGAAGAGCGTAGTAGGAAGGAATTTGGCCCGGTAGTGGCTGAAATTCCGATCGCCAGCCTGGATCCATGAAAAAAGCAAGTACAAGGAACGAAGTTGAATAAAAGCTTGTAAAAAAAGTTTATAATAACTGGTGATCTATCATCATGTCTAGTTCAGGTGTTCAGAGATGCATTTAAAGCTATAATATTTATTCAATTGGTGCGCAATATCTGGTATGGTTTGGCTTGTTTATAGCAGAAGTGTTTTTAGCGCAATTTCCATTCTGGAGAATTGCGTTTATTAACTCGTCTTTTCTGGGAATGGATGGATGGATGAATGAATGGATGGATGTGTGTCCGCAGCTTTAAGTCGTATCTCCTCCTCAACGAAGCAATATCGAGGACTAGTTCCAAAAGCAAATATGTTAAGCAAGTCACGAGGATGAACATAGGCTATAAAAATTCCGGGTTTCTTTCATGGATTTCCCGGAAAAGCCAAAAAACCTTTTAAAAAATGCAGTTTTTGGCCCATATCTCGACAACCAGACCACTTAGCGACTTGAAACATGTACCAATCGACTCCTGCCATAATTTAGAACAATATTGCAGAAGAGAAGAATGTTTTCAAAAATATCCTTTCGTTCGGTCACAAAATTTTTTTTAATTCATTACAATTTGGACCGAATTAGTAGGCATGTTTATCCAACCACATCACACGCGTCATCACGTTCAATAGCTGCGCCATCACGTTCAATGGCTGCGCCATCACGTTCGGTAGCTAGGCGCGCAATGGTTTTTAGTCATGTAACTCTATTGTAAATAAAACATGTAAAATACTGCAATTTTTTTAATAAAAAACGTTTTAATAACTAACCAATGGTTTTACTAACCCTGCTCTTGATTTATGCTACGACAGAGCTATTTTTAGATAACATAAGGAAATTGCGCAAAAATTGTCACTAGACTTTTTAATTACGTTGTTTACTTATTTTCTCTTGATGAGCAGTATGCAGAGGCGTAGCGGGGTCGGGGGAAGGAGGGTTAAATAAAGTTTGTAAAAAATGCATAATTAACTTTTTAATAACAAGCTTTTATGTGATAATGCACTAAAAAGGAAAACAACTGTTTTCTTTAAGTATATAATAATACACTACCATTTAAATAGCTATAAAGTAAAGCGTGGATCACTATATTATATATTGGATACCTTCAATAATATTTAGGAAGAGACCCACGCTTTTCTTTGTAATAATGATTGATTTCCTGTTTAGCCCGAAAAGGGGAATGTTTTTTTCTTTGGGGTTAAATAAAAAAAATGATTTTGCATCCATATATTTTTAAAGCATTAGTCGGTTGAGTTGGGTTATTTTTATCGATTAGTTGATGAAGTTATGTAATGTTTTTGATAAGATTCTAATAGGTTTATAGCAATTTCCTATAATCGCAGCGATGGGCGACACACGTACGCTTTAAATAGAATACCATATAGATAAGGGCCCAAAATCAAATGCGGGCGAGGTGTGGAAAATATTTTATTATCAATTGGTTATTTTATGTAATTTACAGCAAGATGTGATTAACAGTAAAGAAAGAGAAGAGATCAATAATGCAAGTACATCGTATGATAAGATGGAAAAGATATTGGACATCATCAAGCACAAGAGTGGTAAAGAACCTTATAGGTAAAATAAACTTTAGAAAACGCATTAGAATAAGGTAGGCTCCAGAAAAAACCAACTTCTTAATTAAAATCTTTTATTGATTCTTTTGTGTATATTTAAGTTAGGTTACTTGAAAGAAAATATTTCCATGCATCAGGGACTCTTTTGAAAATATGGTTGCCATGGCAACGGCGGCCATCTTGAAAAAAACATCCTTGGCCTTTTGTCTATGTCGGCCTTTTGTCTATGTCGGCCTTTTGTCCGTGTCGGCCTTCTGTCCATGTCAGCCTTTTGTCCGGATCCCTCCATGACTTAACACAGGCCCAAGGGATACAACTAATAAAAATTAATGCTGTGAATAATTCCCACAGTGGGTAACAGGCATAAGTCTAAATATTACACAAACATAAGAATAAAAAATAGACAAGCATTATAAAACAAAAATAAAATGATCAACTAGCTTACCAGGCTTTGTGGAAATAATACGACAAGGTTAAACAAATAGATGGTGCAGTGCTGACTTCTTATGTTTTGGATCGTCCAGGCTCTGGACACACAAAAGTGACTCAAAACATTTGCCACACACCTTGCACACAAAACAAAATACGGACAACACAATAAACAATCAATACAAATTGCATTGATTTTGTTTTATGTAGTCCGTATTTGAAATTATACATGTTTTTATCTTGTATTGAATTTCTTGTGATGTTACTTTTTAGCGCAATTTCCATTCTGGAGAATTGCGTTTATTAACCCGTCATTTCTGGATGGATGGATGAATGAATGTGTGTCCGCAGCTTTAAGTTGTATCTCCTCCTCAACCAAGCAATATCGAGGACTAGTTCCAAAAGCAATTATGTTAAGCAAGTTACGAGGATGAACATAGGCCATAAAAATTCCGGGTTTCTTTCATGGATTTCCCGGAAAAGCCAAAAAACCTCGAAAAAAATGCAGTTTTTGGCCCACATCTCGGCAACCAGACCACTTAGCGACTTGAAACATGTACCAATCGATTCCTGCCATAATTTAGAACAATAATGCAGAAGAAAGTTTTCAAAAATATCCTTTCGTTCGGTCACAAATTTTTTTTTGAATTAATTAAAATTTGGACCGAATTAGTAGGCATTTTATCCAACCACACCACACGCGTCATCACGTTCAATAGCTGCGCCATCACGTTCAATGGCTGCGACACCACGTTCGGTAGCTAGGCGCGCAATGGTTTTTAGTCATGTTACTCTATTGTAAATAAAACATGTAAAATACTGAAAAAAAATTAATAAAAAACGTTTTAATAACTAACCAATGGTTTTACTAACCCTGCTCTTGATTTACGCTACGACAGAGCTATTTTTAGATAACATAAGGAAATTGCGCTAAAATTGTCACTAGACTTTTTTAATTACTTGTTTAAATGAATTTGTCTTCAATTACTTTTGTCTTGAAACTATATAATTATTTTTTGAATAAAATATTGTTTAATAACATATATACTATAAAGCAAACGAGTTCATAAAATAAAGACTAACCGTTAAAAATTTACCATACCGGACAAATATTTTAGATTGCAGCACATGTTTGATAACGAAATAGTATCTACTTGAAAGTAGCTCTCAGATATAAAAACAAAGCTATTATACAACATATACCTTTGTTTGAGCCTAGACATGATTAGCTTAACCTTTAAAAGGAAAAGATAATTATTTGTTAAAATATTTTAAAGTACAGCATACTTGTTTTAACTTTCAGTCACTTGGTCACAATATTAAGAGAACATAGTCCACATCTGGTAGAGAAAATTGAACCTACATCCTCCTCATCGCGACCAGATTTGAAGGCTCCAGGTATAAAACATTGATTTTAGTGAAGATAAAATGTGATTCCCCCCCCCCCTAAATTGCATCTTCTGTGTGTGTGTGTGTGTGTGTGTGTGTGTATTTGTAGCGGAGAGCTAACGTTTTTTTTTGTAGAGACGTTGATATTAACCATGGAAGTAAAAATTGGCAGTTACCTGTCATGTCGTCTGTTAAAGATCCTTAATGCATATAAAGCATACTATTGCAATTATAAATAAAAATTATTTTCAAATACCGATTCAGAGCTCGTCTGTGTTAAAACTAAAATCCCACAATGTTTAACGCAAAACATCAAGTCTATACCATTACGCGCCGGGTATCGTTAGTTTACTAAGAATAAATTTGTCGCAGGGTTACATCAAATAGATGGTAATCTTCGTGACTACGTGATCAAGTATAGTATTTTTAAATTTCTAAATATTAGGCCCCTATTTTATTTCTTAACATGGAACCTTTCTCGCATTGGCCGTTAAATTATAAAAAAAAAACAAATTTGTGTATAATTTTATTTAAATTTTCTAAAAAATGCAACAGTATAAAAAGTAAGCTGTAGTTGTTGATTGAGCATGTTTCAGGTGCGCATTTTTCTTTTGCGTTTTTATAATGCATTTCATATATATATATATATATATATAAGTAGAATCTAAATATTGTATTTGTCATTCCAGTGAGGTCAAAAATATTACGACGCTACAAATAATTTTTGAGACGGATGAGCATGTTGGAAACAGGTTTGAAAAAGGTAAAGATATTAAATAGAAGTGTATTACATTACTGTATTAAAATAAAATTACTGTGCATAGTTTTACTGATATTACAATATTGTAAAATGTAAAGGTATAACCCCGTAAAATGTGATAGTCTATTGTTTTTGTAGCTATTTTTTGTTCTCTTTAGATGAAGACACATCTAATTTATATGCAGCAGATGACAAAGAACCGGTACGCGAGTACCCGAGACGTTTTGACTCCGAAGTAGAGGTCACTCTTAAATATGTTAAAGGTCGATGCTTTGATGATGTTTCACATAACGTTAGAGGCAAGAAAACAACTCCTATAAAAAACTACCACATTGTTGATGATTTAACTGGAGTTACGACTATGCTGGAATTCATTGGTTCCAAACTAATTCCATTTGTCTCAGCATGCATGAATGATACGAAAAACGGTACGCTTTATTTTGGAGTCTGTCCAGAAAAAGACCCCAAGTATAGAACCGGTGAAGTTGTAGGTGTAGTGATTGATAAAGATATTGTTAGGAGAGAAATTGAAAATTTGCTCCAGACTTCATTTTTAGAGAGTCAAGTAAAATACACTAAGGCCGTCCGGCATCCAAAATTTGTTCCAGTAGTCTCTGAAAACAGCAGCATTGTTTCTTGGGTTATTGAAGTAGATATTGTGTCATCTAATGTCATTCTTAGCAATGAAGTTATCAAAACAAAACTACAATTATTAAAACTGTTTGGTAAATACAAAACCCAGTGTAAAGAATACGGCATTTTTCGACTATCAGAAAAAGGAACTCCATTTCTTTTAAGTGAATTACAAAGATTAGAATACGACCGTGAAATTTCTAAGATAATAAAAGAAAGAGAAGACGATGAAAAAAAGGCAGTTAATAGGACTCCAAAATTTTTGAATAAACTAAATCTTTTACTAACAGGAGGCACAGACCAAGGTATAATTCTGGATGATCTTTACATATTTTTAATGTTAAGTCCAGTTGATAGTTATATGGATCAAGATTTTCTAAATAAAAAAATGTCTTTTATTAAAGATCTCGAACCTGAAGTAGTGTTTGATTTTGATCCAAATGGTTTTAATCAAGGTATTTACCATACTTTAGACACAACACAAGAAGAAATATTTAACGTCTACACTTTAGATACATTTGATAACAGGAAAGAAGATTTTAATTCTTTGCTTGAAAGGTTGCAAAAGGATAATTATACTCAATGGGTGTTTTGTAATGGTCATGACAACATGGAGGAGATAGATAGAAGAATGTGGAACAAAAAAAGAAAGCTACCATTTCAAGAAGCCATCAGAGCCTTTGCTGATAACCACGGGAAAGAAAGAGTACTTTTAATAATGTGTCTATTCTCAAAAAACTATGAAATAATGATATCAGCCTGCGAAGAAGCAATAACTAGACTACCAAATCAATGGATTCTCTTAGCTGAAAATGATGTAGCAAATTTATGGCAAGACAAAATGTCAGAAGACAAGTTAGAAAAACAAGAACTGGAATACAACTGTGTTCTAGATATGACCTGGGACGAGATAAGCATGACCGTTTCTCAAATTAAGGAAAGAACTAAAAAAAGTGATGTTTTCCTTCCATGTTCTAATGGATCCATGACACCAGTACCATTAAAGAAATTAAAAGAGTGGCATGATATTGATATTTTGACAGCTGGGGACTTTCTTTTCGAAGAAAACACGATTAAAGAATTAGAACAAAAGGTTGAGCTTGAATTTTACCGAGGTGAACAGGTATGTTGGCTAAATTTTTGGTTTCCTAATCAAGTTCTTCAGAGGGATATACATATTAAATTAAAGGAACTAGTTGAAAATTTACTGGAAGGCAAAACTCAGGAAGATTACCGAGTTCAATACTTTACACTTTGGCATCAGCCTGGAGCTGGAGGAACTACGTCAGCCATGCATGTTCTTTGGGATCTTCGTGCAAAATACAGATGCTGTCGAGTTCTAAATATCACGGAAGAAACAAGTGAGCATTTAGAAGAAATTTGGCAATTTAAAGAAGATACCAAAGCTCGCTCCCCAAAACCTCTTTTAGTTCTGGTCGACTATGTTGATGATGATGAGTATATAAAGTTTAAGGGAAAACTGGAAGAATTGGGACGAAAAAACAGAAGACATTATGAAGAGTCTTTTGACGTTTTTTGCACTATTATCGAATGCAAAAGGAGTACAAGTCCCCCTAAAGAATCAAACAAAATAGGGTTATTACACAACTTGACACAAAGAGAGAGTATCTGGTTTGACAAAAAAAATGAACAATTGAAATCTAATTATAAAAATCAAATTAAGCTTCTTTTTGCTTTTAACATCATGCGAGAGAACTTTAACACCAATTACATTTCTGGCGTTGTGAAAAAATTCTGTACAGATGTACATGACAAAGTTGAAATTGAACTACTTCTTATAGTCTCCTTTTTAAATGTGTATGATTTAACTTTTAAACCAATCAAAGTTTCGTGGCTTGACTGTTTCTTTAAAAACAGAAATGCTCCAAACATCAAGGAAACGATTACTTTTCCAAGAGATGTTAAATGGGAAGCGAAGCTAAATCCCGGAATAAAATTGTTGATGAATATATCGAATTATTCAAAGCATAACAATAAACCAAGAAAATCTTTGAGGATTATAAACAAACTGGTGGCAAGAGAAATTCTAAATGACATGAGATTTCGTACTGGAAAGAAAAGTAGTGAAATCATGCTAGAATTGTGTGATCCTAAAATTTATAACCAAACTGGCCAAAATTCGAACAACTTCAGATACCTTATAAATTGCGTTGCTAAAAAAAGAGAAGTAGAAGAAAATTTAAAAAAGGGCAAATTTTCTCCGTTTGTAACTGAGCTGATTGACGAAGAAGGAGCTGATGTTGCGGTTGACGTGTTAATTCAGTTGTTTGAAGTAAGTCAAGACCCGTTCATAGCTCAATTAATATCAAGAGTATATATGGAAATGAAAAATTGGAACAAAGCTAAATTGTATGCACAGAAAGCAACATTTTTAAAACCTGAAAATTCGTATCTGTGGGATACTTATGGCAGAGTGTTTAGTTCTCAACTAGCTGAATATAACACTGAAAATAATGCTAAAATCAGCAAGGTAGAAGAAGACATTATAAAAACTATTAAAATAGCATCTGAAGGAGTAGAAATATTCCAGAAAGCACAAGAAGCTAGTGAAAATGAAATGACAACTCTGGAAGAAAATAATATTGCAGGCTACTTTGGCGAACTAAGAACAATACTACTAGTGCTCAATGCCTTGAAGTTACATTCTGCTTTTAGAGAGCATTCAAAGCTACACATGTATTTGGTTGAGCTAAATTACTGCCCAGCAGATTTAGCTTTTCTTCAAGACTACAGTTTTTTCTTAAAAGGCTTGGCATCAAGAGCTAGGCAGGGAATAAGACGACTGGATGAAGAATATCTACAAGTGAAAATTGGAAGCGGTAAGGAAGAAAGAATGACCGATGATTTTAGCAGAGACAATCTAACAAAATTAAAAGCTAATCTAGATTTTTTTTTTGAAGAATCTCAAATTATTTCCGAACATCCAATGCTAACTGAGCGTGACGCTTGCATGTATAGATTGAGCGTTTCGCAAACTAAAGGTGCTTCGTCGTTGAATCAAATTTTAGAACAGAGGAAAAAAGGAAAAATGCAAGATATAATCGAAAGTGCAAAGTTGTTGTTGAAAAATGTAAAATCACCGTTAGCAACATTTTACGATTTTAAAGCCTTTTTGAATGTTCTGACTGTATTGATTGTTAGTAATAATATACCGCCAGGTCTCACCTTTCAAAACATGTTAGATTGGAGTAAAAAGTTCTACTACCTTGAACAACCTAAAGAATCATCGCGCCACTTTTTGGAGCCAATGATGTTTTATGTTTTGTACAATTTTCCAACAGAAGAAAGGATGGCATTTAATCTTTGCACTATTGTTGATTTGAATAATGCCATGGACAAATGGAGGGATCATTTTAAAAATAATTATCCAAAACAAGATATATTTATTTTACGAAAAAGGGAAACTACTCTATTTTTTCTTGGCAACGGTCCCCCATTACAAGATATTGTACCTCAAGATCACCTAGAAATTATGAAAGAATATAATTATAAAGAAAAGTGGACCATTCCTGAATTAAGAGAACGACTCAGAATGATGACAGGTGTGCTTTCAGATGATGGAGAAAAAGTAAAAACCGTAATGACAACAAAAGATGGCAATAAATTTACTTTAGATATACTACCTGCGTATCCCATACACAAACGAATGATGTGGAATAAAAGAGTTTACTTTTATTTAGGGTTTAGCTTTTCAGGACCAAAAGCATTTGGTGTATCATTGGAAGAATTGGGGATCATTCGGAATGAAGCTGTGGGCGAAAGATAACTACATACTCTTATCCCAATTTAAATTTAGAGACAAAACATAATTTCAAACTTCATCAGTCAATATAAATAAGCACCCAAATACAATTAAATGGTTTATTTATTACACTAAGGTAGAATGTCATGGTGAAGAAATTAATTATACATCAAATAGCCAATATTAATTTCTTTGAAATGGCGCAATCGGTGCTAAAATATTCTGCCTTGCAATAACTATCTAAAACTATAACTATTTAAATAGTTTTGTGTTATGGTGATTATAGTTGCAACTTTTTAAATATAATATAGAAAACATCTTATGTTTCTGAAATTATAGCATATAAAAAATTGTAACAGTATTTTTTATAACAGAATTTTTCCTGCAGGGTGTAAAAAAATAATTAAAACAGCATTTTTTTTAACCGTTGCGGTAATTCAAAACTATACATCAAATAGCGTTGCTATATATATATTTTATATATATTTTATTTTAATTAGTTTTCCATTTAAATTTCTTATTTTTATAGGCCTTTATATTTCCATATATCGCAAATAATGCAAATATTCTAGAGTAAACAATACTATTCTTAATTATAAGCATTGAAATAGACAACAAGATTAGTAAATATATTTTCTGATAATTTTATGTATTCTAGTACCCAACATTAACGTCAATCATATATTTAATATATAATGTAATATTCTTGTTTATTTTAAGGCAAACAGCAGGATTAATGTAAAACAATTTATCATTATTTTAAAATTGGCTCTTTGAATTGTGTTAATGTCTTAATAAATCATCATAAACTTTATATTTTATTAACTGCTTACATGGTTATAAAGTTGTCAAATGGACTGACAAAAGAAGTGTAATTGTATTATTTTAATTTCTATTGCAGTTATTATGTCTCAACATTAATTTTCAATCTGAAAAGAGATTTTCATGTTTATATAATTATAATTTGTATTGAGTTAGTAAGTGATAAAATAATAATAATATATTGACTTTACCATTAAAATCCTTTACAGAAAATAATAAACTTTAATTTGTTTTTATGCAGATTAACAATTTGCAATTTTGTTTTATTGAAATGCCTATAAATGTGTTTTAATAAAAAAATTTAAAATTTTTTTCTAAAGAAATTTATACTATTGTGCGACACCTCTCTGATGAGTCGAATATTTGCATCTCTATATTTTTTGAAATAACTAATTTATTGTTAAACATTGTAATAAATAATTTAAAATTGTGTTTCTCATGTTCATTTTAGATTTAGCATTTATAAAAAAAAATGATAATAGTATGCCTACAATTCAAATTTACATTTATTCCAGATAACTTTTATTAACCTCCAGAATTAATTACAAATTTCACGGAGGATTTCCATATAATTTCTGAGTAAAATGAGAATCTTCAACAAAAGTGTTGAAGCAGTATTGTTTTATGGTTTCGAGACCTGGAGGGTTACCAAAACAAACAGACAGGTTGCAGGTCCGGACTCGTGACGTTCGTGAATCCAACATGCTCTCTCTATAGAGTCCTTGCAAACATGTGAGCTAAATCACGTGATACCTGCGTCCGCCGCCGCTGTGGTGTACACCGGACGTAAACACAATCAGCTGTTCATCAGCGCTGGACGCGTTCACTGAATGTAAAGAACCGCACCCGCGGAAAAGTAAAAATACGTTAAAAACTTGAACTCTTAGGAATTGAAGATCCTTATACTGTTATTGACAGTTTTGTGGATAATATAAATATGTGGCCGAAATTTCTAAATAAAAATACTGTTAGTAATACTGTTTGCGTTTAGAGTTTAAGTAGACGAATCTGATCAAATGCAGTAATATATTATAGGTTATCTAGATCTGGTTAATGTAGATTCTAGATTCTCTGTTAAGTACAAGATTTAGTAGCAATAGATCTAGTACAACCACACTACTGTAGCAAACGTTAGACCACTAAACTCCTACAAAACTACAATCTCAGCCAATCTAGGTGGCATGTTATACAATTTAAGACACTTATAATCCAGCAGGGAAGTGATCAGACACATATTAATACTGATGTTCAACCCTCATGATGGCCTGCCCCCACCTTTTTCTAACCAACAATAAAACCAAAGAGTAGCCAGTATCACTGCCCTTCCCTGAACATTTCTCACCTCTTTGATACCCAACCCCACAGAGATAGTATCTCTTATATAATTTTGACCCTCAGGGCCCAGCAGGGAGAACAAAGGGGAAGTCCCACTGCGCTCCCCTCAACATTTCTCACCTCATTCCTCACTAGTATACTAGCTACAGGTTCCTACTGTAAACTACTAGACTGTAGGCCCAATGTAGACATGCAATTGTATGAATTGTAGACTGGGTCCATTGTTATTACTCTAAACCATCTCACATATAATGTTTCTAGCTTGATTTGTTTTTTTTTTTTTATAAACAGTGGATTTTTAAAAAAAAATTAGCCTAATCATTTACCAAACAATAATAATGTGGTTATTTGTTGTTGGCTGGTATGATCTAGATTCTACTGCTAGGCTACATAAACTTAGTGGACCAATTACTAAATATGCATTTGAATTTAATTAAACTCAGTCCAGTATCAGATATTGCTGTAAAAAGACACAAAGTAGCTAGGCCTTAGTAATTTATTAAAGCCTTCTACTACAATAATATCAACTACATGCTTGTATAAACTTTTTACAATTTAATTTAAGTAGCAGATTCTAGATCTAAGTCTAGTCATACAATCTATTTTAATTTCAGAAACTTTCGTTTGCTAAAAAAAATGTTTAGATTATAGAGTGAGATTTTAGATCTTAGAGACAATTAAATGCTTTATTAGGCATATTAATATTATGACTACTTTTGATTTATTATGGGTGTATTTTGAATCGAATGTAGATCTAAATTTTGTAATTAAATTTAAGTAAATAAGTAGATTCTAGATTCCATGTCTACCCAGCGGAGCCAGTCACCCTAAATCCAGAATCTAGATCTGTGGTTCTAATTTTGTTTACGCCATGTTTAGAGCTAGATTCTAGATCTAGATATTAAAACACTATTATTAGGCCTACTATTAAATCTTATTATTCTTATTATTATTTTGACTTGTCTTTTACTATTAGTATTTGTGAAGGTCGAGCATATTTGTTTTATTAATAGTTAACGTTTATAGGTAATTAAAATGAAGTTTATTATTTTACTGTCCTTACCTGAAACAAAGTGTCGAGAACAGATTCGCATCTTTTTTGCCCGCTGCTTCACTCACACCGCTGCGATAAATATTGGCTAAAAATTGACGGCGTCTACGTTCTGTTTGCACTATTATCGAAAGCAAAAGGAGTATAAGTCCCCCTAAAGAATCAAACAAAATAGGGTTATTACACAACTTGACACAAAGAGAGAGTATCTTGGTTTGATATAACTCTTGGCAGTCGAAATAAAGGAATCCCTTTAGATCTGCCACTTCGAGTATCACAACCTTTCACCGCACAGATCACCATTTTGAATGTAGATCTTTACACCGAGATGGCGGATGTTTACATTCACGAACGGACGTGATGTCACATGAAAGGACTCTATTGGCGGCTGTGCATAGTTCTGACCACACTGTTATACCAAATGTTACGAAACGAGTCATTTGTATAGTTGGTGATGACTGCAGTGAGAGGTGCAAGCAAAACGCAAACACAATTTCTTCTAGGCAACTTTAATGGTTACTATTTTAGGAAATAATTTTGAACATTAATAGTGGCCAGCCCTAGGGGCCAGCCCTACCACACTTTACAAAACACAACACGACTACCTCCTAGCAAAGCTAAAGTTCAACTGTACTAATTTATTATCAGGGCCCAAGCTTCACCCTCGGGTTCCTTAACCCTTGCCTGACCCCGCCATTCCAGCGAGGGGGAGGGACGGGTGGCCTAGCCTGTAAATTGCTAGTTGGGACGGGGATGCATTGTGTCCCAGTTCAGGTGTGAGACGGGAGGGGGTAGATAACCAAATAGCATCAATACTGGACTGAGTTAATAACTGAGTTATAACATACACCATCCTTCATATGCCGAGGTCAAGAAACATATATACTCTAACGTGTCTGCCCTATGGATCATTAGGTCTGAAATATGAAGTTTACTTACTTTCATTGCCTTTAGTGTACTTAGTTTTTGTATTTATAGTGCACTGTACCTTTTTCGAAAAATGGTTATTGTGACTATAGTAATCTTGACCGTTGATTATTTAGAATTTTAGAAACCAAAAAATATTTAACATTAATGTATTCTATAGGTATTGAAACGATTCGTTTTTATTGCGAGTTCCTTCTTTCAAGGTCAGACGATTGACTGCTGTTCATATTATAATTTTATTTACAACAGCAAAGAATACACTTCGTACAGTAATTTAAAAATTTCAACTCCTAACCGTCAACATAAATAGCTTCCCCTTGCATTCATCTAGGTGGTCCCCCGAACACCGCATTTACCCCGATTATATAGCCCTACATTCACTCCCTTCAGTAAGTGAACGATCACCAAAAAGCTTACAAAATACAGCGATTGATCACTCACGCTTTAACTTCCGATGGCCAGGTATTCAACTCTCACACACGTTTCACTCCAAATACAATTCACCATAATACAGTATATTACAGGTATGACAACCTTTATGTGTCTGTTGTACATTTAGAGGGTGTGACGGTGGTCCCAGTGTTATGTTATATGGTTAGGTGTGTCGAGGTGTGCTGTCAGGGTTAAGGTATAACGGCGTGGTGTTAACTATGGGTGGTGTAGAGATCGGTGTGTTGATATGTGTAAGGGTATGACGGTGTGATATCAGCTATAGGGTGTGTTCAGATCTGTGTGTTGATATGTGGTGAGGTGTTAGATTGTCGATTCGTGTGTAGCGTGTATGTCAAGAGGGTTTTATGCGGAGAGGTGTAAATACGTTCGAAAGGATAATATTTTTTCCACTTGTATCCCTTTTATACCTGTAATTACAAGTAGAAGCGTATTTTGTATTTGATTATTTAGAACTGGTGTCAGTTGACTAATAGGTGGGTAAAAATAGAGATAATGGCATTACAAGTAGAGGGAAATAACCACGTTTTTAAATTTAGCTACATATTTATTCCAGCATTACCTCTCTTACAACATGATATGTATTTTTTAAACTTGCGCAGCTCGAATAACTAGAACAAACATGTGTTGCTGTTATCTCTTATCTCAGTAATGCATAGCTTATATTTTAAAACTGTCTAAACAATTAAGTCAGGAAAACAAAGAAGTTGGACATAAAGTAAAATATAAAAGTAAAATAAAATCTATATGCTTTCAATATGTGACTATAAATAAAACCCATTGCAGAATAATGCATTTATTCAGAATTTCTACATTACTTTCAATCAATTTAGAAAATCTGGTTGTTTATAAAAACAAAAGAACTATTAGCCCATGTTTTTTGTTCAAAGCTTGAAGAGAAGACCACAATCTGTTCCGAATAATTTAATAATTAAAATGTCATCTTTTAATTCAAGGTTTTATTTCAAATTAAACTACACATACATTTCTCAAGCGTGAATAACATCCCCTTTAACGAAATCTAAAGTAGTTTATTCAGTTCACCTTTATGTACAAATCAACGTAACCTCCCTTATCCTAATCGCCAACCAAAAAGTCCCCTAACTATCGTTCACTTCCGCTCTTATAGTCAGACTTATACCCACACTCTACCTTGGGGTAACAATACATGAACACCATGGCATTAACTCAACTGATACACACTAAGCAACATGCGGTTAACTTAACTCACCCACGCCTCTCCCCTAAGTTTGAGACTATTCTAATTTATTCTAATCTAACCTACATAATGACCTGTAACAACGATCAGAAGTCAATGAACACTTTATATTCTAATACAGGCAAGTTTTAGGCAAAACAGCGGGTATGAAGTTTGAGCAAGCTTCACAACTTTCCCAGTAAATTATTGAGCTAAAATTATCCTCCAATGAATACACTGCTTCATCTTCCTTTTCATTCTTCGAGCTTTGACTAAATATAATCAAATGTTTGCCATACACAACAGCTCCATAAAGAACCATTTGAAAATTCCACAGATTGGCAACGTAATTAAACGCGATCTGTCCTTGTAGTGTCTCATGTAAAGTCCACAAGTTGCCGTTTGTTTGTAGCACAAAGTGGTTGTCGTCGTTACGAAAACTGATGATGTTTTTAGCTGGTCCATTGAGGTTGTCCAGTCTTGTCCAGCTCTTGGCATGAAGGTCTAACATATGGACAGCCGTTTCCTCGACTCCATTAACTGTTTCAGTACAGAAGAATAGAAGATAAATTTGATAGCTCATAACATGAGTTACAAATAGTTCGCCTGGAATTTGAGAATAGCGAACTACAACCGGCATTCTGCTTCTTGGGTTCATTCTATAGATAACGCTCTGGTCGATGTTTGTTACATAGATGTAGCTGTCGTTGCTAACTAAAATTAATTCATTCCCCGGCATTTCCACTATCTCTTTCCACAAGCCTCCACAGTAAACAAACATTTTACAATTTAACTGATCTACTTTCCTCACACCTGTGCTGTGTAGTTCATTATCGAAAACAACAAGTTGAATTTTTCGCTTGATGTGTGAACAACTTTTAATAGTATACCACTGATCGTCAAGTAAGTCGATAACTCTATATTTCCCCTCCCCATAGGCATATACCCCATAGTTACCAGATTTATCATACCGTCTGTGTATACCTGAAGATGACCATTGGCCATGCCGGGAAATTGCCGTCTGGTTTAAAATAGCTTCTTGAATGATCTTTCTAGCCTCGTCATTGTTTACTACAAGGTGATGGTTCAAGATGTAAGCGAGAAGCGAGGGGCTCATGAGACTCAATCTAACACATTTTAGGAGATCAGCTAACTTTTGAGATCTTTCATTAGAGCTTGTAGAAAATGGCTTACGTTTTGATTTTACTGAGTTTGAAATACAAGAAAAGTTATTGGCTGGTCCAACGCCCTGATTAAATAATTCAGGGGTCGATTCTTGTGCGACTAGAGAATTCTGTAATCTTTTCTCTCTCCACTTTTGACTTTTGAGTCCAATATTCTTCTGAAATATTATATTTGAATATTCTGATTCTTTAACTGAACAGTTTTTAACAATAGGGTTGACTGTATCATTACAGGATTCTGATTTATATTCAACCCATTTTAAAACACTTTTAGCCACCTCATATTCATTAGTAACTTTAAGACTATTGCTTTTAATTATTTTTAAAAGTACATTATAAGATAATTCTAAATATGTTCTTGTTTTTATAACTTCCTCAAAATTATATAAAATGAATTTTTTTATTCTTTTAAGCACAGCTTTAGAATTCAAAAACATTGCACTCGGGTAAATATCTTCAAACGTTTCCATTCTAAGATTGTCCAAAGCAAACTTTTCACAAAGTTTTACCATAAAGTCAATCTGCAGCATATCTACAGCGTGCCAGATTTCTATGAAGTTGTCAAGACTCAACACGTCTTCACCGGTGTACAAAGTTTTCAGGATTAACTGAAAGGTGGAGACTGATATATCTTGTAGAACTACACGTCCGTCGTTGGCTTCTTTCATTCCAGATCTCAGCAGTCCAAGAAAAAATGGCGAACATGCTCCAAGAATGACGCGATGACATTTTATTGAAACATCGTCAATTTGAACTGTAAAGTCACAAAGATCTTCATTGATCCATAATTTGTTAAGACATTTAAAATATCCATTACACACTTTATCAGATAACATTTCATTTGTTGTATTTATCAGATACAATCATAGGATCAGTTGCTGTCATTACCTAACTTACACAACACTGTAAACAGTGTAATGTGTTTATCTGTGTCGTATCATGTCAAATCCCTTCATCCTGTGTCAGTGTGTGTTAACTGTTCTGAAAGTAAAAACAGCCCAATTATCTAAAGCAATAACTATAGTTTAAATAGTCAAACACGAACCGCGGGTGACACAAAAAATTTTCCGTGAAATTAAAACATCGTCCTGTTTTTATATCTTACTGTGACTAAATGATTTTACTTACACTCCATCTAAAAATATCGCTCATATTTTACTTAAGAAGGATTGTTTAATAAACATGTAAAAATGATTAAACAAAGAATGTTTAAATCCTGTAAAAATAATTAATATAAAAATGTTTAATAACCCTGTGAAAATAATTAAACAAAGAATGTTTAATAACCCTGTACAAATATTTAAACTAATCATGTTTAATACACCAGTACAATAATTAAACAAATAATGTTTAATAACCCTGTACAATAATTAAACAAATAATGTTTAATAACCATGTATAATATTTAAACTATGAATGTTAAATAACCCATTACAAATAACTAAACTAAACTAGTATAACGGAGACTATCTATCCACTCACCCAGGGTAAAGAAACCAAACTATGACGACTATTGAAAACATTCTTCTGACAATCTACCATTGTTGATATCCCTGATAACAGAATGTACCAGTTTATACTTCAACCATTGTTGATATTCGGGATAACACTAGTTAATGTAGGTTAAAGTACGGTTGATTAAAGCGTTATCATACCCTGGATTTGTCTCAAATAGAAAGTGAAACTAAACTTTTAAATTTTAATTTGATTTCATTAAAGCATTATTAGGTCTTGTAAACATAATGTATTATAAATAAATGACTTTCAGAGGCTGGGAATTCGAAGGTATTATCAACTATTATACTGCATATCTCATTTTTAATATTTCGTAACTTTATTAAGCATCCGTGCATCTCTTTCTTATTTTACATAACATATCTATCTCTATAATTACTGTAACCGACATTGTCAATATATGTAAGTGTTACATGCATGGCACACGTTAACGAACAACATAACGCTGACACATGCATGTATTTGAACTGTTTTGACAAGGCTACTACTACCCCCCCTCCCACACACACACACACATACTAATTACAGCTTTGTGTTCCAGCATCTTATACACCATAATACGATATCTATTGAAAACTACCTTTATCATGGAAATTAGAAGCAATTGCAAAACCTCGTATTAAATTGTGACAACATAATCAAGACACACATTTATTTTCTAAAATAAAAACAGACATAATTAAAGGCAGTACTAGAGAACGTGCATCTTTATGACTGATTACCCCAAACTATAAAAAGACACGGATATACCGGCTCAAGAGACCCTAACCTATAAGACACATGTTTAACCCCAGGCCAATTGCAGCTGTACCCTTAAGTATTGCCTCCTTATACTTCACTGCAGGTCAGAGGCGTAGTGACCCTTCCCGGCGCCCGGAGACAAAATTTTCGATTTTTGCACACCCCCCCTCAAGATTTCGATTAGCACCCCCCCCCCCCCCCCTCGAGATTTTAATTTGCACCCCCCTCAAACTTTCGATTTGCACCCCCCCCCTTTCGAGATTTCGATTTGCACCCCCTAGTCAAACTTTCGATTTATTTTTCCAACCCATTTTGGCGCCCCCTATAGTCGGCGCCCGGGGACATATGTTCCACCCCCCCCCCCCCCCCCCGCTACGCTACTGCTGCAGCTTCACGGGATGTTTGACACGCTTTAAAGTTAAATAAAACGAAGGTTAAGCATAAGGCATGATAAATGCATGACAACATGCTTCATGGATATACAACATGAATCATGGTTGACTCTCATTTTTTGTTGGACACACGTTAGACGGGGCGTGGTCAAATGGTAGAGCATTTGACTACTAACCTGGAAGTCCCGAATACAAATTGGAAATACAAAGTAGAACTTCCCTGAGTCAACCCAGGACTGATGGGTACCTAATACACGTTATTGAAAGTAAAGGCGGCTGACCACACTATCACTTCAAATGCTGAGGTAACAGAAACAGGTGAACTCTACTTCACTCGAGGTTGAAATGTTTGACACCTATTTAATTTAATTGAATCTCAAGATTCGTGGGATGCTATAGCTCATCTCCCGTCTAATTTACCCTCAAAGAATAGATTGTTATAAGTTGTAATTTAAGTTATTTTAGTTGTTAGGTTTAAATAAATATACAACACATTATAATTAACATCTATGTTTATTAAAAGAATATTGTAGTAAAAATAGAAGATGTACAGGATAATACACATGTTTTGTCATAAATGTGGGTTTACCTAAAGTCGTTGTGATCAGTATCCGATTTTGTTTAATAAAAGTTGACTTAAGTAAAGCATATCATTATGTGTCAATTACTTAATGCATCCAATTTTTGAACCGTAAAATATAAAATTTAAATTGATTGCAAACAGTTTTAAGTTTTAATACACTAAATTTCTATATCTAATAGCTTTTAATTTTAATTAATCACTCATTGCCAGCTGTGCTCTGTAGAGAACATTTTGGTAAAATTAGAGGTAAAAAGTTCGAATTGTAATGCTCCCTACCCCAATGCGATATTTTATCAAAATATCCTTCTAGACTCTTTTTGGTAATGCTGCCTTCTGGGTCATTTTTTGGGTAATTCCCGAATATTATTAGAGTTCCGTTATACGTTATCGCACCGTGCAACACCTTCGGGAAATCCCACAAGTTGCTGACATATGTCAACACGACACAAACATGAGAGGATCCAGACATTGTCCACAGACTTCCGTTAGACTGTAACACGTAACAGCGGCTGTCGTCTTGGAATGTGATCAGACTTTTGGCAGGACCTTCAAGGTTGTCTACTCGTGTCCATGTTTTGGACTGGATGTCCAGAACGTAGACAGCTGTCTCGTCTACACCATGCTGAGATTCGTGGCAGAAGACCACAAGATGTCTCTTAAAAGAAGACGCTTGCTCTATTTTAGCACCGACAGGAAGAAGTGTTAAAAGTTCTAGTTTATAATTTGAAGGACTTAACAAAAATAAACTCTGGTTATTATTGTATATAATGCAGATATTTGTTTCTATGGCAACTAAAAATACAGGCACCTCGTCTAGTTCCATTAACAGCATCCACCTATTCCCTCTAAAAACAAACATCCTGCTGTTTACATCAGTACTCATACGTCTACCCGTAGCGTAGAGCTCCTTGTCAAACTCCACTAGAACAATGTCAACCTTCAAATGCGCACACGGCTGAAGCTCATGCCACATCTCATCCTGGGCAGATAATGCCTTGAAGATTCCATGCCCGTGGCAGATAACTCCGTAGTTGTTATAATCACTGCGTGTTCTGTGAACGGCTGCAGCCGGCCACTGTCCGTGCCGGTAGCCGTGCAGCTGGTATAAGATAGCGTTGAGGATGATTTCTTGAGCTTCAGAATTACCAGCTAATATCTCATGTTTGTATAGCTTGTGTAGAAGTGCTGGGCAAACCAAACACGTTCTGATCGACTTTAAAACAGTTGTCAGATCGCTTCTTCGGGGATTCTGTGCAGATGTTGAAGCATTACAAGTGTTGGTATCATTAATGGCTGTACTCTCTATAATATTTAACAGCTGTTTCTGTTTGCTGTCTGGAGTATTTTGATCTACACAGCTTTCATTTAATACTGAATATTCCTGCGGTGAAGTAAAACATACACCTTTGTGTGAAACAACAGAAGTATTTAGCTCATGAACATCAAGACTGGATTCTGCTTTAACAGGTACACATTCAGCCCAATTTAATACTGACTCTAGAACTGAATCTTCATTACCGACATCAAGCTCCTGACTACTTAACACACTGGTCAATTCCTCACAAGTTAGCTCTAGGAACAACGGCATTTCCCGAACAGCGTTAAAGTTTTTAATTATAAATTCAGTCACAGCGCTAACCACCTGAGTAGAGTTTAAAAGTTTGGCAGCTCTAAATATATCGTCAACGTTTTCTATAGACAAGATCTTTATGGCGAAGTTCTCGCAGAATGAGACGAGAAAATCAATCTGGAGCTGATTAGCAGCGTTCCAGACTTCTAGGACGTTCTCGGGATTCAGGACGTCTTCGCCAGTGTATAAGACGTGAAGCACCAGCTGGAAGGTGGCGACGGATATCCCTTGCAGGTCCACTCTACTGCTCCTGGCTTCTTGCATCCCGGATCTCAGCATCCCGCGGAAAAAATGACTGCAGGCACCGAGGATGACGCGATGGCATTTAATGAGGACTTGGTCGATGATGACTGTGAAGTCATGTAGTTCGCCCTCCTCCCATAAAGATGTCAGACTTTTGACAATGTCAGCTGTGAGGACCTTCGATACCTTCATCTCCTGATCCAACTCCAGATCTTGTGAATTCTTTCTTTATGCTGCTGTTTTCTGCACAGGTAAACACGTCAATTTGAAGGTCCCTTCGTTTACAAATCTGAGGAATAATTACAATATTCAGTAATGTTCAGTACATTATAATCTCTATATATATAATTCTCTACCTGGGACCATGCGGGACACCACCCGCTCCACGTAAGCACTCACGTGAATTTAGTCCACGACATGTGTGGCTTGTATTATTCCTTCCAGTAGGCAAGATGATAAGTTAGGAAGAGGGAAAACGATCAACACTTTTCATCGTCTGGAGTTCAACAGGGGTATTTTGGGTTTACTTTAGAAAACAATTCTCGCTTATGGTAAATAGTCAACCATCGCCCACAGAGGCGTAGCGAACCTTCCAGGCGCCCGGGGACAAACTTTCAATTTGGCGCCCCCCTCAAACTTTGGATTTGCACTCCCCCCCCCCCCCCCCCCTCAAACTGCTAAAATGCAGCTAAAATGACATTTTAATTTGTTTTTACAACCCATTTTGGCGCCCCATAAGGTCAGCGCCCGGGTGTATATGTACCCCCCCCCCCCTGCCCCCCCCCCCATCGCTACGCCTCTGATCACCCATCATTCTCTAAATAAAATAACAATAACAACGATGGCCAAGTACCAACAAAAATGTAACTGAGTTCTAACAAAACAAGCACAGCTATTTAACCGAAAACAATTAAAATATTTTCCTTGATTGAATAAAAGGTGTAATAGATTTAATCTGTATACACAGAATACAACAAATCCATAAAATATGGTTTGGATAGTATGAACACATTATAATTACAATTAGGGTAGTTGTAGTTCAGGCTTTTTAATGAACACAATATCGAAAATTACACTCTAAATTTACTTAATAACTACAGCAATTTAATATTATTGCTTTGTGACTACCTTTTCTTTCAGATTAAATTAAAGTATTTGGATTCAACACTGTGGTCACACATTACTAACAAATAGAATTCACCCAAGGGAAACGATCCAACACACTAGAATAATTGCCAGAGCTGATATATGTGTGTGTGAATAAAATTAGGCGTGTGTAGGTCAGAGGCGTAGCGACCCTTCCCGGCGCCCGGGTACAAACTTTCAATTTGGCGCCCCCCTCGGAAACAACCTATCAATTTTTCAATTTTTCAATTGCACCCCCCCCCCCTCATACATTCCATTTGCACCCCCCCCCCTCAAACTTTCAATTTGCATCCCCCCATATACTTTTTATATTTTTTTCATGCAGAACTGCAGCTAAAATAAGATTTTTATTTGTTTTTACAACCCATTTTGGCGCCCGGGGACATATGTACCCCCCTGCCCCCCCCCCCCCATCGCTACGCCTCTGGTGTAGGCCTGTTGTTCTGAGCTATGTGTTATACGCGTGGAGAATGTCACTATCATGGAGTTTTTTCTTTATAATGGTGTTAGATTACTGATAACAGATACAAATAGGGCTTGACAGAGGCGCAGCGAGGGGGGGGGGGGGGCGGGGGTGCGGACCGCACCGGGTGACACCATTTAGGGGGGTGACACCAAGGCAAAAAAGAGCAAAATATATAAAGAAAAACTTGAGGGGGGGTGCAAATTGAAAGTTTGAGGGGGGGGGGGGGGTGCAAATTGAAAGTTTGAGGGGGGGGGGGTGCAAATTGAAAATTTGAAAGTTTGTCCCCGGGAAGGGTCGCTACGCCTCTGGGGGGTGACACCATTAAGTGCCGCACCGGGTGACACCCGACCTCGCTACGCCAGTGGGGCTTGATAATGTCAACGTAAACCCTAACCTAAGTAACGTCATGACGCTTACGCTAATTTCTGCCCCTAATACATTACGCTAATTTCTGCCCTTAACACTGAATCAGAGATTACACAACTGCTAACAATCTAAAACACTAATTTCTGGTAAAGTCGATTTTATGACATCCAATACCTCATTCAAGCCAGTCCCTAAATCTAACCTGACTTAAAATGAATCCCTAATCTTAAGTGATCTAACACTAAGCCAATTATTGCATTTTCTTTGACACAAATCACACACATTTTAAAAGAAGACTACGATATCAGCACGAATAAGTTCAATTTAAGTTGTATAGGCTTACCTATAAACAACTCTAACACACATATTTTAAGATTACAATGTCAGCACGGCCAATATGTTTAGGCTTACCATACATAACTCCGACCAAATGTTGATTTTTATAATCAAAACATCTGACACCAGACATATAAATAAAAACTGTATACAATCTCACCATACAACAATTCAAAAAGAATAAGGTAAACAAACAATTAACACACCGGGTACTTAAGTATAGTTTGAATTTTTATGATTCGGTATTCGAAGAAATATGTTTATCAAATCAAATCTCAAATGTGTGTTTACAATAAATATTATACTTACACACAGGAGACGCAGCGCTGTTTCACTAGCGTCGTAGCTGTACACATAGAGTTGAACTCAGATCAATAACACGCCTGTGACCTGTAACACACTCGGCGTGCTGCTTACGTCACGGGGAAAAATTCAAAGGAAGACAAACCGAAACTGGAAGAGTTGTCGTTACTGAGGCTTAACCCACTGTTACACGGAGTTAGTTTTTTTTTCTAGGGGGTCGTCCATAAATGACGTCACACTCGTAGGGGGGGGGGGAGAGGGGTCCGTAATTTTGTGACGGTGTGTGGTGAGGGGGAGGTAGGGGGGGGGGGGGTTTCAGATGGTGTAACGTCACATCTTTGCATTATAAAAAAGCAATGTTAGAAAATGAGTTTTAGCCGTTATTTTGCGTTTTAGAAAACGGTTTTAATAAATTGTAATATGACTTGATCAAAATACTATATTGACAGAGTTCTGACAAGGTTTTGGAAAAAATATCGATATTTTAAGAAAAATTCAACAGCAATTTTGAGGGGGGGGGGGGTTGTAGGCTGAAGTGTGACGTCATTTTAGGGGGAGGGGGTCTAGCTTTTTGTGACGATTTGTGACGGAGGGGATGGGGGAGGTAAAAATCGTCCAAAAAAGCGTGACGTCATTTAAAGGTGACCCCTAGAGTGTTTTCTGTTACAAAAGCTAGCCAGCTGATTCTAATAGAGTTAGATATAGTATTTACTCAAAAACGAGCAGTTTTTTTTCAGGAACTTAACAAAACATTTTACAACCCAATTCCACTGGAAATGTCGTTCCAAATTTTTACTGTAATATACCAATAGAATAGAATATCGAACGGAGGTCAAGCCCGCTGTATAAATGGTTACATAGCCAATTAGATAAATAGAATCGACCTATTTGTTTTCAATCAATACGATCACCTCCCGTATTTCAACAGGCCTAGAATTCAATTCACATTTGACCATTCAGCTTTAAAGATCCCGGTCGAAACCCCCCGGACATAAACCCCCTGGACATACCCCCCCCCCCATCCCGACATAAACCCCTGGACTAAATCCCCCGTGACATAATACAGCTCCTGTATTGTTTCACAGCCGTACACAGTCCATGAATTGGTCGATGGACGGACTGTTCCATGCAGGGGCGTAGCGAGAGGGGAGGGGGGGGGGGCGGGGGTGCGGACCGCACCGGTTGACACCATTTAGGGGGGTGACACCAAGGCAAAAAAAAGCAAAATATATATAGAAAAACTTGAGGGGGGTTGCGAATCGAAAGTTTGAGTGGGAGGGGGGGGGGGGAGTGCAAATCGAAAACTTGAAGCGGAGGGGGGGGGTGCAAATAGAAAGTTTGAGGGGAGGTGCAAATCGAAAACTTGAAAGTTTGTCCCCGGGAAGGGTCGTTATGCCTCTGGGGGGTGACACCATTAAGTGCCGCACCGGGTGACACCCGACCTCGCTACGCCACTGGTTCCATGTGTTTATGCTTTACTTCAAAACAAATGGACTGCGTGGTCGAATAGTAGCCCCTTTGACTCTAACCCTAAAAAGTATCGAGTTCGGATCCAGGGAACGATTCTGTAAGACAACCAACACAGCTCTGATGGGTACCTGACTCAAGTTGGTGAAAGTGAAAATAGTTGGGCATGGTACTGACCACACCATCCCTCCCAAATGTCGAGGTCACAGAAACGGATGGGCACTACTATATCTGTATTAGGGACTGCAATGTACGAAATTGGCGCTTTACCTTTTTACTTTCTCGAGTCTTGTAATCGTGCAAAAAAAAAAAAAACACGAGATTTTTACAAATCTCGACGTTTTACACCTCACTGATACGGAAAAACATAATTTTGCAATCTTGTCCGTATGTCTGTGTGTGTGTGTCTGTCTGTCTGTGTGTAAACACGATAACTTGAGTACCTTTACAGCTAGATTGATGAAATTTCATTTATAAGTATTTTATCAAAATCGTATATCCGTATCAACTTTTGAGCGATTTCCGATAACCGGAAGTGGTACTTTTTCTACTTTGAATTTTGCAAAAGCCTATAACTTAAGTACTATTTCAGATAGATAAATACCATTTCACATGTAAGTAAAAGATCTAATTTTCTACCTTCTGTCAAATTTTGAGTAATTTCCGTTGACCGGAAGTACTAATTTACGCTATTTCCGTTTTCTCAAAAAACGCATGTAAATTTATAAAGTACTAACAATATTGCGCACTATTATACACATTTTGATTAGGCGTTCGCTTGGTGCGCAATTATTTTTTCTACGAGATTCTATTCTATTTTTAAAAGTTTAAGTACTTAAAAATCATGTCTATATTCCGAGTTATATAAGAATATTCGAGAAAGTTTAGGGCAGATCACTCCCGGTTTATTAGTGTTAGTATTATAATCTCAAAGGGAAATTTAAAAATACCAATGTAAATATTTTGAAAAGTGACCGTCTCAGATATACTAAACGCCCACTGGTAGCACACATAGGTCACGTAACAGATGTCATTCTCTCTAAGTGGTGTCATTCCACTTGTGATATAGTGCTATAACGATAAGGGGTTTACACTGACCAGATGTTGCAAAATATGTCAACAGTGACTAACCCAATGAGCGCACCCAGCGGAGCATGACTGTCAAAAAGCTAGTTAACGACCCGTCATACGATCCAGCGCAGATGATGGGAAACCTGTCCTACGCAGTAACTAGGAATCTATAATATAAGCGGGCTGGTAGTGTGTCAGCAGAGGCGTAGCGACCCTTCCCGGCGCCCGGGGACAAACTTTCAATTTGGCGCCCCCTCGGGAGCAAATTTTCAATTCGCACCCCCTCAAACTTTCGATTTGCACCCCCCCCCACCTTAAACTTTCGATTTACGTTCCCCCCCCCCCCCCCTCAAACTTTCGATTTGCACCCCCCCCCCTCAAACTGCAAACATGTAGCTAAAAAGACATTTTAATTTGTTTCTACAACCCATTTTGGCGCCCTCTAATGTCGGCGCCCGGTAAAGGGCGCGATTTGGCGCTACGGGCTAGACTGTGAGCAATATGCCTTTATGATTGCATTTAAATATTGTGTTTATATTATGAGTGTTGTGTTTGTTTTTTCGTTTGTGTTTTTTTTTTGCATTCGTTTGTGTTGTGTTTATTTTTCTTCTGTTCCCAAGTTGGTACATTTAAAAAAGATTTACCGTGGCGGAGCACGGGTATGCAGCTAGTGTACTATAACGATACATAGTGCGTTTGGCGTCAGCTGATATGTTGATTTAATTAGGAATCAGCAACTGTGTTAAACGCCAATCACTTGTTTCGGTATTAGCAGGATTAATTAATGAGGTTGAATTTTTCAACTGTAGAATTTTTTTATGTTTCTGTTTATTATGTGCTATGCAATGCATTCTTATGTTAGATAGGTATCAAGGGACAAATAATAATAATAGTAATAATAATAATAATAATAATAATAATAATAATAATAATAACAACAACAACAACAACAACAAAAACAACAACAAAAACAACAACAACAACAACAACAACAACAACAACAATAATAATAATAATAATAATAATAATAATAATAATAATAATAATAATAATAATAATAATAATAATAAAAATAATAATAATAATAATAATAATAATAATAATAATAATAATAATAATAATAATAATAATAATAATAATAATGACAATAAAAACAATAAAATAATAAAATAATAATAATACTCATCGTGCATTTTATTTCAAGCTTTTATTTAACTTGCTTCCTTCTCCAGTCTGTCATCAGTCTATCGTCAGTCTGTCTTTCGTCATAGATCGAAAAGCTCGAGCGAAACTTCGGGCACTTCTAACTTATATAAATGTTTAAATGAATTCATATATAAGTAAGAAAAATACACGTCTTTTACCTAAAGTTACTGCAATATTTCGGCTGAAATATCAAAACGACGAAATATTTTTATATCAAAATTAATAAAATAATAATTTATTGAACAAATCATGATTAAAAACAAATATAAAAACACTAGCCGTCCCGGCCAGGCCCTGCTCTGGCTTCTGTGAAAAACCTTTCTGTTAAAGACCATTACCTGTGTGTTTAGTAATCATCATAAACCCGGCATTGCCCACCCAAACCACAACCAACCAAAACAACAAAACGCAAACATGACGCTAACACAATTACAAATACAAACGAAAACAAAAACAAAAACCTAACAACAAACCCAACCACAACCACAAACACCAATACAAACACAAAGAAAAAACAAAACAAAAAAGCAAACAAAAACAAAAACCTAACAACAAACCCAACTACAAACACCAATACCAACAAAAAAAAAACAACGAAAAAGCAAACGAAAACAAACCAAATCCAAACGCAAAACCAACCAAAAACACAAATACAAACCCAAACAAAAAAACACAAACAAAAACGAAAAAAGAAAGAAAACGAACCAAATCAAAACGCAACCACTAACGCAAACCCACCTAAACACAAAGAAAACACTAACGTGTACATAAACGCCCGGGGCGGAATCACCTGTTTTAGCTTAATGAACGACTATAGTACCCCAACTTATTCATAGTCTTTTGCACTCACTTAAACGAACGCGCCTGTTTCAATTTAATGAACAATTTTAATACTCCAAGCTTATCCGTAAAATACCTACAACATTTGCACTTGATCAATCCCCGCTAATTATGTAATTATTTTTTTTCCCAACACCAAAACAAAGTAATAAAAAGTAAATTATTTTCCTCTAATGCAATGGTTTTATAAAGGGAAGTAATTGTGTTTTCCTAATTTATCAAAGGGAAGTAAGTGCTATAGGACTAAATAAAGACATAATTAGAATTTTAGTAAAAGATGATATTTTTTTAAAACTTGTGTTTAATGAACATGCCGACAATTATTACTTTAATTTGAAAAATGAATATTATTTCCCAACACTTTCAATAGTAATTTTTTAACTTATAAATTTAGACAAATGCGCACGATAATTGTCTAACACTTAAATCCATCCAAGACCAACGACAAACATATGCATTACATACAGAACTGAGCTTTATATATTAGATATAAGCTTTACAAATGCACTGAAAATAGAAAAATAAAATTCAGTTACGTTTTTTCAATAGGCCACCAATGCTTTTATTAAAGAAAGGAATTTAGTTTTAGTTTTATTTAAATTTTCAATGCATATAAAAATCTGTTATTACAAAAGGTTGTCAATATTGGTTTTAGTTTCCACGTTCTAGTAATTCTTCCTGAATGCAGTTGAAAGAAAAACTATTAAGAATATTTGCTTTTAAACCGTGGTTTTAGTCCGTGGTCGACTCACATTTAAACGGACAGACAGACAGACGGACCGACAGACAAACGGACAGGCGGACACACAGACACACAGACAGGCGGACAAACGGACGAACGGAGAGACGGACAGAAGGACAGACGGACAGACCAACGGACGGACGAACAGACGGGCTGACGGAGAGATAGACAGAAAGACAGGCATATTTTTTTAGTTTTTTTGTGTGGTTTTCTTTGTGATATATTTAGTTTACATAGATTTATACAGATAAATTAAAAAAAAACGTATAATCCATAACAATACACATAAGAAGTTGATCTGTGTAATTAAAATGCATTATTTATTTTGTATAAATATGGTTAGAAAATTAGTTTAATTACGACTTATAATCAGGTTTTCAATTACATCTACATTTAAAAGATGCCTGAAATAAATACTATTCAGAAAATGTATTTAATTACGTCACGTTAGCACAGTTTCTCTCGGTCTCTCCGGATAGGGGGTGGTGGCCATTGAAACTTCCGTTTTGGGGGAGGCGTTCTTTAAATCTCTGAGGGGACGGATACTAGTTAAATTATATATTCTGTGTAATTAATAAGTAAATGATATATTTTTCCATTTGTTCTATTGTAGCATACTCTGGATTGGGTGGGGGCAATGCTTCACCTGATATATGCCGGAAAGAAACTCTGCTTTATTATAAGCAAAAAAAAACTTATTATAAAACATGGAACGAAAACACGTAGAATCTTATTTTGTTTCAGATAATGTTTTGGTTTGTAAAATGTCAATATGACGAGAATTATCTTCTACAACAAAATGTGCACAACGAAGTTTCAATAACCACGTATGCATTCAATACATATTTTCATTAAGTTATTTTCGTTGATATATATATATATAAAACTCAAAGAAAATTCTCAAACAAAAGAAAAAAGTAGACTTTCATTAGTTATTTTCAATGTTTTACTTTTTATAGTTTATAAACTAATACTTATTTAAAAAAAACAACAACCACCGAATTGTTATAATGAAGAGCGGCGAATATAAAAAGGAAGAAGTGTTTAGTAATGTACAAGTAAAATAACATCTTTTACCATTGACAATATTAACACAAAATTGAAGAAACATAAAATTAGAAAGTAGATACTGACAATAAAAATGTTCATTATAATTTATTTTACAAATATATAAGAAGTGCAACCGTTTAACCATAAAAGATTGTATCCAATTTGTATATACTCATGATTATATCAACATTTAAATATTAAATGAAACAGGGTCTGAAAATGTTAAACGTAAATTTGCTATCTCAGTACTTTTCGTACAGTTTAAATCACGCATCAATTTTAATCATTGTTTCGTTCAGACAATTTTCTCCACGATAGGAAGCAGTAAAGTAAACTGGGGGGGGGGGGGGGCAATTATAAACTTCGTGAGTGGAGGACACTGATTAAAGTGTTTATTTACTATATACATTATTTTTTTTTTCATTTCGTGCTGATGGGAAGAATGCGTACTCTAGAGAGGGGGGCGGGGTGTGCTAGTGCCAAACACCCCTCGAAGAAAAGATTCTTGAATTGTAAAGTCGAAGATTCCCAACAAACTGTTAGTTCAACCTTGGCACGGCTCTCAGTCGGTACGGCAGTGGTGGAGCTGTCAGCCCAGCGGTGTCTTCCAGAGACGGCATGTTGTTCGCATCCTCAGGTAGGATCTTGAACTTCTGGAATAAAATGGCCATGTAGAGGTACATTTCCATCCTGGCCAGAGACTCTCCGATACAAACCCTCCGCCCCACGGAGTACGGGATAAACTCTTCCGGCGTCCTCAGCTTCCCTTCAACATCAATAAACCTTCCCGGTCGGAAGTTTTCCGGATCCCCCCAAATTTTTTTATCTCGTAAGATCAAGTCGAGATTTGTCGCTATTTGCGTCCCTTTTGGGATTGTGTACGTTTCAAAACTCGTATCGGCCGTACACTCGTACGTAATAATAGGCAGGATGCTGGCGATTCTTTGGGTTTCGTAGATAAAAGCGTTGACGTATTTCAGGTTTTGTTTGTCCATCATGTTTGGCACTCGTTCAGTTCCGACATGCTCTAGAATCTCCTGGTACATGATATCTTGTTTATCTGGGTGGTGTATGGAGTAGAGGAGACACCACACGATGGTGGTAGCCGTGGTGTCGGTGCCTGCTACAAACATATCATCAACACTCCGAGCTAAACTCTCATAGCTCAAGTACGTCGGCTTGCCTGATTGTTCTTTCATTTTCATCTCCTGAATATACGCCACAATAAAGTTATCAATATTCTCCGGGTCAAAATCTTTCGCAATTGTCTCAACCAATCTTTCAGTATTCTTATGAAACTCTTTTCTTTTTTCGACCATTAATTTAGCTCCGAAAAAATCAAACGGCAGATATATTAACGAGGGTATGATGTTAATCAGATTCACTGTAGAAGCAAGCCCAACCACGTATTCTATAGTATCAACCAGGGTTTTTAATCTAGGGTCGTCATAATCGTACCGAAAACCGTAAATAACCGAATGAATTATATTCGACACACTCTTAGTTGTCAGTTTACTAATGTTGAAAGGCGCTCCATTCTGTTTCGACAACTCTTTAGCGTACATCAAAACCTCCTGGGTTATCTTCTCCGCTAAAATATTCTTCCCCATGCCGAGATATTTGAGGATGTTCATAGCAGTTGACCTTTGCTCTTTCCACAGCGGACCTGATGAGAACACAATCCCTTTATTCTTAGCCGGCACGTTCACAGATAACAAATCAGCGGTCGATCTCCCAGCCATTGTGTCCGCTTGTTTTACGGTCACTTTTTTCAACAGCTCCAAATTATTGACAATGATGTATATGTTTTTACCCATCTCTAGACTAAACACTGGGCCTAGTTTTTGGCTCCATTCCTTAAATTTTTTTCTGGAGTTCTTGGCGTCTAACAAATAAAGGTGGCCGATGATTGGCAGACTAATGCCAGGGGAAGGCGGTAAATTCTTTGATTTTCTTGTCCATTTAAACACGATCAGGATACATAGAGTGATGGTGAAAACCCATGGTGAAAACGTGGACGAAAAGTATTCTGTCAACATTCTTGTATCTGAATAAAATAGGGTTAAAGTATATAGGTGTAAAAACAGCATATTATTATATTAACAACAAAACATTGATGACATTAAAATCTTTTAGAGCAAAATCTACTCATAAATATGTAAGTGGATTTTAATAGTGTATGAATTCTCTTACTAGAGGAAAAAAAGGGAGTTCATCTCCTCAAAACATTTTCCTATCTTTTCATAGAATAGTAAATTCTTTTGGTTTTTTTTTTTAATTTAAATCGGAAATATCGTAACTGACTACTTTCGGCTAACAAAACTCACTCAGTATTTGAAAGAATCTAAAAAAATGATCATACACCTATGCTTGAGCTTTTGCCCTCCTACCTCAACAGGTAATTACTTTATCTGTAATATATAAACCGGAAATAGAGTAAAATATCGCTTTTAGTATTTGAGGTCACTCAAAAATTGGAAGTAATCCAAAAGTAACAAAAGAAAATAATCATAATTTCAGCACTGGAATTAAAAAAAAAAAGCTATTTCTAGGCTACATAATGTATATAAGCGTCGAGATAAAATTTAACTAACTGCATTATTAGTGTAACAGTACGATCTATATGTTATAAATTAAACTACGTTTTGCACAGACAGAAAAAAAACCCCACCTTTCCTCACCGAAATGAAGCAATAATTGACACCGTAAAAACGTTAACAGTTAAAAAATGCAGACAGAAAATGAGTGAAACTAATAGCTTTTTGAATATATAATGCGAGCTTTCAGTAAGTGGTTGCATTTCAACATGTATAACCCGAGCAATTTTGAGCTCCCTCTCTCAGTCGTGTCTAATTTCTCTGTATTAGAGGTATCCACTCTCAACACTTAGACAGATGTGTGACTCCACCCCTCACACACACATGACTCCACCCTCTGGATCATGATAGATCCAATCGTTTGAAAAAAAAATTAAATAAAACAAAATAATTTGCTTGACTTTCGTGAATCGTTTGAGCAAATAAGCTCCCCCCTAAAGGGAAACTACATACGTGGACAGCTAAAGGACACACACCGAGACACAAAATTGAGTGGGCTGTAACAACCATACTAATTTTTTATGCGGTTTTAGGTTTTTTGTTATTAATTTATTTTCCCACTCCTATATTGAAATTGTATGGTGGTCATCCAATATACTGAGGGAAGGAAGAAGAGTAGTCCCGAAAAAAATAGATTTTTTGTATGTGGAAGGGTGGGGGGGGGGGATGGCTCAATAAGTGTTGTGTTTAACATTAAAGTACTTATGTTTTAAAACAAGCATAAAACTCGTATCTTGCAAGTAAAAATGTAAAATAAGACGATAGTGATCGTGTTATCAAAACATAAAATCAAACTTTAAGTGTAAATAAATCACGGTAGTCGAATTTACGCTAAGGCCATGCATAACATAGGCGATATCATGATTTTCAACTAGTTTAATCCCCCCCCCCCTTCACCCCTGAACGTCAAACATCGTCACATACAAGCTAGGACCCCAACACCTATAAAAACATCACGCGTGTGCATATCACCCCTCTAAAAATTATAGAAGGAAAAAAAAACAGCGATTTTATTTTTAAATATTTACTGAACTCGATCAACGTATTTAACCTTATCGATTGGTGTTTTTTTAAATTTACAAACTGTCCTTTGCGTGGTTGGGAGGGGGGGGGGGGGGGGTGGTGGTATTTAAAAATTCAGAATTGTTACAGACGTCTAAATGGATGACCCTTTTTAAAATATATATATTGATTTTATAAAAATTTCAAACATTGATGGAACGTCTCTAATTTCTAATGTAACTTTAGTACACTCGTGCATTAACACTTAGGACGAATTACTGTGACATTATATTAACCTGACTAATTAAAAACACAAACGAATTGAATTTTAAAATTATACAGAAACAAATATGTTTTTAAAAAAACACGTAATGTGAGAAGGTCTTCGAAGGTGTCATTTCTCCAATCGCCATCTGTTTTTTTTTTGGCTCCACTTGTAGAACTACATCGATGGAGGTCGTTCTACGGTTCACGGATGTACGAGTACCTGCTGGCTAGTTGCCAACACAACAAACGTAAAGAGGGTAATGTATTACATGAGTCAGCAAACATAAAAACATGATACTTGTTTTTTTTTTAAAAATCGACAAATAGACACGTATCAATCTTCCAGGTATTTCTACTTTGGAGGAAAGGGGGGGGGGGTGGGGGTGAGGCGGATTTTCACTCCCCCCCCCCCCCCCCCGAACGGAATGGAATTTACATATAAAAAATATTTTTACCTGTGTCCACCCCCACCCCCTCCGAAAAAAAAAGTCTGACAGAAACACTGGTATCAATATTCAAGTTATCAATTTTGTGAGCGTAATATCAACGTTATATGCATATATATATATATATATATATATATATATATATATATATATATATATATATATATATATATATATATATATATATTGTGTTTTCTGTTTCTGGGGGGGGGGGGGGGTTGCAACACATGATGACACCCGACCCAGCGACGCCGCTCAGCTAGGACGGGTACCTGCCTTAAGTTATGAAAGTAAAGACTGGACACAATGCTGACCACACGATCACATCCGTTCATATGCTAAGGTCAATGAACTGTTTGTACTTTTTGAAAAATATTTTCGTGTGAGTGTTGTTTTTTCCAGCCTTGAATGAATAATGTTATTTAATTTTTTACAAATATTTCTTTTCTGCGCGAGAAAACAGTCAATATAGCTTTGAGCATTTAACAAGGGAAAAAATCTCTTGAACCTTTTTAGCTTCTTAAAATCAATATGTTATAACATTGAATATTTTACAGGTAAACGTTATTTTAATTACTAACTTTTAGGGATAAAAGCTACGTGTATCAAAAAAGTTCTTAAATTATATGAAAATGTGACGGCAATTTTCGTAATTTGGATATCCTTTAAAAACTGTTTGTTGTAATTTGTTTTTCATAACTTTTTAAATTAAGTTACATACAAACATGAGAAGTGTCCACTAAAGTTAGGATAGAAAGAGAGAGAGAGAAAGAGAGAGAAAGAGAGAGAAAGAGAGAGAATGTGCTAACGAGAGAGAGAATGAAACAGATAGCAAAACTCGATTACCCAGTAAACAGTACTCAGCAATTCTAATTATGGTAATTATTATCACATTACAATTGAGACTGCGAGTGGGTTATGTATCTCATGTTACTGTGTGGTGTAATTTTAGAAAAATATTACAAAAATATGATAACATTAAGTAAATTGATAGGATTTTGTAAATAATGAAGTGTAATAATTTTAAATAATGTCATGGTACACTCACGATCTAACATTCTGTGAGTATTTATTATAAGAAATGAAAAGTTATAGCTTGTAGTAAGGTACCATGACTTTCGCTCTCACTAAGCCTCCCGCAATACTGTTAGTAAGTAAAGTTCACTTTCAAACCTAATGTTCTACGGGGCAAGTGAAGTAGAGTTCACTTGTTTCTCAGCATATGAAGAGAAAGTCTGGTCAGCGCTAAGCCCAGCCGCCTTTGCTTAACCTAACGTGAGTTCGGTACCCATCAGAGATGGGTGTACTCAGGGACAGTCTACTGACTTGAACCCGGATTCGAACTTGAGAATTACGTGATAGCATTCCAGCTCTATATTGCTAGGCCACTCCGTCCCCTAATGTTAGTAAGTGTTAGCGAATTAACCAAGTAGCAAAATACACTTTTTAAACAAAATAATTAATATCGATTTGTATACAGGTTTTGTACCACTATTACTAATTAATCAGATAATTACCGTTCTCATTAGAGGTAAGGTATTTTACCTTAATCGATGCATTTTTTTAGTGCAAAATTTGATCCCATACGTTGAATTTGCATCAAAATTTGAAGTTCCCAACCTCCGCCATCCGAAAAATCGAATCGTACTATCTACAAAAACGCTGTTCTAAAATATTTAGTCCTAAAAATTACAATTACCAACCCTTCCCCAAGCATGATAATGTAAGGAAACTACTAATATGCAATCCTCATACTAAACCAGGGGTTCCCAACCCCGTGCCCGCCGAACGATTCGTATGTGCCCGCCTCTCACTATTCGACAGAGACAGAATTTTTTTCATAAACATTATTGAAAGGTTGAAGGGGATGGAAATCGAAAGTTTGAGGGGGGGGGGGTGCAAATAAAAAATTTGAGGGGGGGGGGGGTGCAAATCGAAAGTTGTTTTGTCCCCGGGTGACGGGAAGGGTCGCTACGCCTCTGGAAGGAGTTTGTCGATTTAAAATAGGTGGTGCCCGCCACCCTACCGATATTTTAGAATGTGCTCTAGAGTAAAAAAAGGTTGGGAACCCCTGTACTAAACGATCAAAATATATTCAACATAAACACGGATAGAAAATATCCTTATTTTCATTATAATTTACGTACTGTACGATATTCGTTTAACTACAGATTGAAAGTAATGTAAAACAATGACAACAGCAATATTGCTCATTACCTTAGGTCTTAGCACATAAAAAATCTTTAAAAACGACCTACCATGTAGATTCTCCATCAGTTGGTACTAATCTCCGAATTTCACTAGAAATGGGTGACCCCAAAATTATTATGTCGGCTTACCCACTAAACTAATATGTTCTGTTGAAAATTCAAGTCTGATTTGTTATCATCACAAAATATTTTTTAAACCAGCCCTTAATAAATGATGTATTCTTCAAAAAAAAATCTTTTCAGGTTATTTTCTTAAAATACATTATTCATTTTCATTATGTTAATTAAAGTGTTTTTTTAGATATTATTTTGATTAAATTATTGTGCAGAAACTAATATCAAAGAAGTAATTTTCTTTGTAATTAGTATCTTATGCTTATATACGACAAAAAGTTATCCTAAACTTATGAAAAAAAATATTATTCAGTGATTAGATACCAATATTTTTAATCATAGTTAAAATATACATTGATAACAATGAAAATTAATTTTAAATACACTTTATAGAATTGAAAATGAATATTTGTTAGGAGCAATTTATTTATTCTTCTTCGTTCTTAAAAGTAGTGTTAGAGAGATTTCCTCCAAAACAATTCAGTATTACGCGTCAGATTACTCTAGGGCGTTTAGGTCGTCGGCTCATATTTCAGACTGCTTTTCGTCCTACATTTGATTCCATAGTTTTTGTCAGTCCAAGAAAATTAACAAGGCAGCAGTTGTTTGATTTTAAAGTTTCCTCTCCAAGATGATTGCGAACGAATGGAATCTGCCCGAGTTTTGAACTTGGGACTTTCGGTTCAGCAACCATGAGCTTCACTAGCCCGACCACACCTCCTTTTTTTAACGTATTTAAGATTTTTTTTTAAATTGATTGTTCAAAAAGTTGTTAGTCAACCAAACATTGAGACTGTTATTTCATGTCTTTTTTTTTAAATAGACGCTTAAAACTCGTGGTATTTTCATAAGAAATCGCATTATCTTAGGCAAGTACGGAAACTTTTCAGAGCATTGCATAATGTATAGATTTTTATAATAAACCGTTATACTACAGGAAAATACAAAAAATTAAAAACTACTGAATTAATGCAACAACTACTTTATTTTCTTAAACATTTTTAAACACTAGAACTTGTATTTTAAAATGTTTAATTAACAGTTGTCAGAATTAATGAAAAATGTTATACTCACTCTATTAACATGAATATTGCCAATACAAATCTCCATGAACACAACGTAGAAAAGAATACAATTAATGTAAATTAAAAAATATCCATTGTTTAAGCAAAATAAATTATGTATTGCCCAATATAAATGCAGTAGAAAATAATTGTACATTTGGAAATTAAGTTCAAAATATACAGTTGCTTTTGTTTCTAAAAGACACCACTAATGTTATCGTGTTGTGAGTCTGATACGGAATGGAAGTGGTGCAGAAACAATACCAATGGTGTCTTGAAGTAAGGGTAAATTGTTCTCATCTTCTGGTAGGAACTTGAACTTCTGGAACAAAGACGCCATGTACAGGTACAGTTCCATCTTGGCCAAGGACTCACCAGGACACGCTCTGCGACCCACAGAAAATGGAATAAACTCGTCAGGAGTTTGGATATTACCATCAACATCAAAAAATCTTTCCGGTCGGAAAGATTCCGGATCCCCCCAAATTTTTTGATCTTTTAATACCGAGTCAAAATTAAACGCGATTTGCGTGCCTTTTGGAATCGTGAAAGTTTCAAACGTTGTATTAGCCATACACTCGTAAACAATAACCGGGACCACACTGGCGATTCTCTGTGTTTCCATGATGAAAGCATTCAAGTATTTCAAGTTCTGTTTGTCCATCATGTTAGGTGCTCGTTCTGTTCCAACCTTCTCTAAAATTTCCTGGTAAACTTTCTCTTGTTGGTCTGGATGATGAATGGAGTACAGCAGACACCATAAGATTGTTGTACTTGTTGTCTCAGTCCCTGCGATAAAAAGATCATCAATACACCGAGCTAAGTTTTCATAACTTAAATGTGTCGGCTGGCCGGATTTTTCTTTTTTCTTCATTTCTTGAATGTATGCCACGATAAAATTATCACTAATTTCAGGGTTGAATTCATTTGCTATTTTATCAACCATAAAATCACTGTTTCTTTGAAATTCTTTTAAAATTTGTAATAATCGTTTTGTTCCAAAGAAGTCAAAAGGCAAATATATAAGTGAAGGTATAATATTTACAATATTGACTGCAGCACTATATTCTACCAATAGTTTAAAGTTACCAACAATTTTCTGAAACTGCAAGTCACCAAAGTCAAATCGTTGGCCGAATATAATTGAACAAATCACATTTGAAACGCTCATGTTTGTCAGTTTTTTAATGTCAGACGGTTCGTCTTTTAACAAAGACAACTCTTTCAGATACACAGAAACCTCCTCGGAAATTTTCTCAGCGAGTATATTTTTCCCCATGCCGAGATTTCTTAGGATGGTCAACGCCACTGCTCTTTGTTCCTTCCATAGCGGACCTGCCGAGAACAAAAGTCCATTGTTTCTGGAGGGAACATGAGCAGATTGTAAGTCAATCGTTGTTCTTCCCGTCAGCGTGTCTGCTTGCTTGATCGTAACTTTTTTCAACAGCTCTAAACTATTCACAAAAACGTAGGAGTTTTGTCCCATTTCTAGACTAAACACTGGGCCTAGTTTTTGGCTCCATTCCTTAAATTGTTTTCTGGAGTTCTTGGCGTCTAACAAATACAGGTGGCCGATAATTGGTAGACTAATGCCAGGGGAAGGCGGTAAATTCTTTGATTTTCTTGTCCATTTAAACACGATCAGGATAAATACAGTGATGGCGAAAACCCATGGTGATAATACTACTGTTGAAAATATGTTGGTCGATAGCATTTTCTAAACTGGGGAAACGAAATAATTAATACAAGTATAACACAAATATAACATAAAATACAATAAAAGAAAAAGCTCATTTTTTAAAAATATGCGACATATATATGTAGTAGTGAATTTTATTCTGCTTGAACTATTTATATAAAATAACTTCTTATTAACAAAAAAGCCCTTGCTAGATAATGTTAATAAACGGTCTGGTATTTTTGAGTACTTATTTATTCATGCAGACAGATGATTTAGTTCGATAACATTAAATCGATATTTCTGTTTATACTTTGTTTCGTTAACTACATAAATATAAATAATCTAGACCTTAATACTAATCTTGTTATGAACCATTATAATATGTAAGCATATTTCTTCAGTTATGATTGTACCACGGCTATTTTTATCATATTTTATTAATATACAATGTAATTCATTTAAAGTTACCGAAGGGCAGTTAAGATCACAATTCTAATAATATCCTTTAGATTTACTGAAATAAAAATAAAACGAAACAGTTTCTTTCTTTAGTAAAAGCACTGGTTGCAAAATTGTTTTTAAAAAATGTTATAGAGATATATTTAAGCTAAGAAAAACCGTTTTGTATATAAACAATAAAAAGAACAGATATTTCAAGAACAGGAAAAGTACTTTTAGTAAGTTTGTTTTACTTTTTAATGTTTAGTATATTATAAAATATTACTGTTATAAAAGTTCTATGTTTCTTTTTTGTGTTTATAGTGTTTATTAATTTAAAATAGCATATAAATTAACAAGTACATTCAAGTTTCTAAAAACAACCAGTAGCTCTAAATCAGTTTCCAATGCCTTTTCATTCCGTTTTTTTAAGTCGATACCCTACACTATCTGAAACTGATTTTTTCCGTGGTAGTGCAAAAAATGTACAAAAGATTACAGTTGAATAGTAATAATGAAGTTAAACTCACGTTGGGAGCCTAGAACACTGGAGCAAGTTGATCTACATCATATAATAGAAAATAATTCACTGATCCAACAGCGAGCACTCGCTAGCTCTTAGGTCTCTGTCAAGTATTCTAAAACCTTTAAAAGACCTTTTCTTTTTAAATACGATATAAGCTAACAGAGACACTTAAATCCGTATTTTTCTAACCAGTAAGGCGTAAACAAGCGAAAATGAGGCCACGGTGACCTACTTCACATCCATTAAGTTTAAAAAACATACCAGAACATTCCCAGAAAAAAACATCATATTTACACTTCGCCTGTCAACAAATATTATTTTTAACTCGAGCTAAAACAAAATGACCATTGAAAAAAAAAATCTTGACACAATAAAGCAATGTATTCACATTTTTAATTTATAATTGTTTAAATACTACCTATAACCTTATTACAATTTTCTATTTCATGACGATAAATTAAAAATAACTCTTGAAATAGTTATGGAGGTCAGTGGCGTAGGCAGGGGGGGGTAGGGGGGGGGGTCATAACCCCCCCCATAGACCCCTCGGTATATATATATATATAAAGTATGAGGGGGGGGGTGGTGCAAATCGAAAGTTTGTCCCCGGATAAAAATTGGAACATCCCCCTTGAGACGATCCTGGCTTCGCCACTGATGGAGGTCACGTTTATGAAACCTACACTCGTACATCCTTGACCAATCGCATTGTTTACATCAAGTACCGTGACGAATTCAAAATCGTGGCTGTGGACTAGGTGTTTAGCAGGGAGAAAGTATGTGAGAGAGTGGAGAAGTAAGGAGATAGATAGGAAAAAGAGGGAAGAAAGAGAAAAAAAAAATAGCCGGGAGAAAAGAGGGAGTTTGGTCATGAGAGAATACGAGTTGAGGAAGAGAAAGATGAGAATAAGGAAAGAGATGAAAAAGAGAAGAGATAGCGAGAGGGGAGATAGACGAAACAACATGACACTGTTAGATTTCAGTCAGAGGCGTAGCGGGGGGGGGGGGGGGGTCTGCGGACCGCACCGGGTGACACCATTTAGTGGGGTGACACCAAGGCAAAAAATAGCAAAAAAAACGTGAGGGGGGGGGTGCAAATCGAAAGTTTGAGAGGGGGGCAAGTCGAAAGTTTGAGGGGGGGGGGGGTTGCAAATCGAAAATTGGAAAGTTTGTCCCCGGGAAGGGTCGCTACGCCTCTGGGGGGGGGGGGGGGGGGTGACACCATTATGTGCCGCACCGGGTGACACCCGACCTCGATACGCCACTGATTTCAGTAGAACTCGATCAGTAGCGACGATCGGAACTGTTTTTGTCAATTTCCTTACTCATATTTACGTGGTTTGCATTCAAGATTTAAAACTTCCGTGAACACAATTTACATATACATACACACATATATATATATATATATATATATATATATATATATATATATATATATATATATATATATATATATATATATATATATATGTATATATATATATATATATATATATATATATATATATATGTATATATATATATATATATATATATATATATATATATATACATATATATATATATTTATACTTATATAAATATGTTTTTATATATGTTAAACGAACCGTTAACATTGACATATCTATAACCTTAAACGAAATCCCTATAGAGAAAACATGAACTTTAACTAAATATGGACAAGAAATGTGGATAAGCAGAAAGAGTGCAGAATACGACAATTAACAATTCACTCGACAGACGCGTGACTTGAATTTTTACAGAGGTCTCGACAAGCATAACACATAAACACATGCGCTATAAATAGAAACACCACTATATGTAGGACACACACGACCATTCTGGTGCCACGTCTGCCCAATCGTCTCGACCCACCCCCACGTTCCCACACACCCTATTTGACATACGATCCCTTTTCTTTGCCTCACTTCGATAAATCTTACTCCCACCCCCCCCCCTCAATGTAGTCCCTGTTTCTACAGTCTCAGTTAATAAATGATGAAAACTTCAACACTATTTTATTTATTTTAAAATCTTAATTACCTTCCACCCACCATGTCACCTTAAATGCTTCTTAATTAAATTGATCATTAACATTTGTCTCATTACATATCAATAATGAGATCTTAATGCTTATCTTAAATTTTATTGTATTCCTTGTTGTAGACAAAAGCCTACCTGATAGTAACAAATTATTTATTTATGTGTTTATGTTCTGCATGCCACTATAACAAATACTTTTGTTTATAATTACAGTAAAGAATAACCCAATTCACAAATCTTATGTTGCTTTGTTTCCAAAAAAAAAAAACAACAACAACTCCTAATTTAAATCTTCTACACTTTTATTTAGACAAATGTACAAAGGGCAATAACAACGAGAAGGAAAAAAAGCTGCCCGATTTCAAAACAGTATCAGTTTTCCCCCTTTATTATACACACATTACTGCTACATCAAACTCAATGAAGATTTGCAATGCTCATTCAATTTTATCACAAACCTTTGTTAATATTCATGCATCATTGAAAATATTTTAATTTTGTTGCAAAAATGGAGAATTTAGATGGACGAATACGTAGAATGATTGTCAATATATAACTTGTTTCTCTTATTTCTTTTAAAACAGCGTCTTCAAACAGTTTTTATTAATTCTCCACATCATCCTAATCAACAGAGCCCCTCCCCCCCCCCCCATTTTATATTTTAATGTAACATACATTAGGTCACTAGTGCTCAAATCAGGGCATGTCATTAATTAGATCACTAGTGTTCTAACCAGAACAGGTTATTAATTAGGTCACTAGTGCTCTAACCAGAACAGGTTATTAATTAGGTCACTAGTGCTCTAACCAGAACAGGTTATTAATTAGGTCACTAGTGCTCTAACCACAACAGGTTATTAATTAGGTCACTAGTGCTCTAATTAGGACAGGCTATTAAGTAGGTCACTAGTGCTCTAACCAGAACAGGTTATTAATTAGGTCACTAGTGCTCTAACCGGAACAGGTTATTAATTAGGTCACTAGTGCTCTAACCAGATCAGGTTATTAATTAGGTCACTAGTGCTCTAACCGGAACAGGTTATTAATTAGGTCACTAGTGCTCTAACCAGATCAGGTTATTAATTAGGTCACTAGTGCTCAAACCAGAATAGGTTATTAATTAGGTCACGTCACTAGCTAAAAACTGCTACTTGTTACGAATTTGAGTGATCCTTGAAGTGAAGACCCACAATTTAAAGCCGTGCATTTATAATATACGTTGAGATAAGAAAAAAACAAAACAAAAAACTTAAACGTAAAGAATGAATAAAACAGCAAAACTTTATTTTCCATATTTATTAAAATAATCTTGACATATTTCAATCTCTAATGTATGCTCATTAAAAATATCTTTAAATAAAGCTATTTAAAAATCTACATAAACAGGCCTTCAACTTGATTGGTAACATTAAATCAATAAAAATCAATAAGCTTGTTTGTAATTTTTTGCTTTTTCCTTGATTAATTTAATGTGGATAAAAAAGTGATTATATAGGAAATAACATTGTTTGCTAAACTCTCACTCCCCAGATGCCTGACTGTATTTACAGACGGTGAACAACTATCGTATACAAAACATTCTGTCATCGAAAGTGCTCACTATATTATATATTTGTGTAGATTAAAGCTTTATTTAACGGTAAACAGTTTAGCTGTGTGTTACCTATATTAATCATCCCATACACTGTAATAAAGACATATTTAGTGCATGTAATATAAATATCATGCAAAATATTTGTATAAAATGAATAGATAAAGAGATTACAAAATGAACTATTTTTAAGTAATGTGCATTGTTTGTATAAAATCAAGTTAAGGTCGATCAATATATTTCCGTAGTGTTGGCGAGATTTAAAAAAAGCATGATGTTTACGTATTCTTAAATCTCAAAGTTTTCCAAAACAATATACTGCAACGACAGTACAAACTTGTAAAAACGTGTAAAGCTATAGGGATGTAGTTCTGGCTTTACTACACGAAATTAATGCAGTCTCTGAATTACTCGGATGCGGTAGGGAAGGGGTGGTGATGTGATACCAACGGTGTCCTGTAGTGAAGGTAAATTGTTCTCATCTTCAGGCAGGAACTTGAACTTCTGAAACAAAGACGCCATGTAGAGGTAAAGTTCCATCTTGGCCAGAGACTCGCCTAGACAAACTCTGCGACCCACAGAAAATGGAATAAACTCGTCAGGAGTTTGGAGGCTGCCATCAACTTCAATAAATCTTTCCGGTCGGAAATTTTCCGGATCTCCCCAAATTTTTTTGTTCCTTAACACGGAGTCAAGATTTGAAATAATTTGCGTCCCTTTTGGTATGGTGTATGTTTCGAAATTTGTATCAGCCATGCACTCATAAAGGACAAGTGGCGCAATGTTAGCGATTCTCTGTGTTTCCATGATAAAAGCATTCAAGTATTTCAAGTTCTGTCTGTCCATCATATTAGGGGTTCGTTCTGTTCCAACCTTCTCTAAAATTTCCTGGTAAACTTTCTCTTGTTGGTCTGGATGATGAATGGAGTACAGCAGACACCATAAGATTGTTGTACTTGTTGTCTCAGTCCCTGCGATAAAAAGATCATCAATACACCGAGCTAAGTTTTCATAACTTAAATGTGTCGGCTGGCCGGATTTTTGTTTTTTCTTCATCTCTTGAATGTATGCCACGATAAAATTATCAACATTTTCAGGATCCAATTTTTTCCCGATTTTTTCAACCATGAATTCGCTGTTTCTTTGAACCTCATGTATCGTATTCAATAACTTTTTCGCTCCGAAGAAATCAAAAGGCAAATATATCAGAGAAGGTATAATGTTAATAATATTCACAGACGTGCTGTATTCCAACAATAAATTAAAGAGACCTACGATTTTCTTAAATTGCGGGTCATCAAATTGAAATCTTTGGCCGAAAATCACAGAACAAATGACATTTGAAACGCTCATGTTTGTCAGTGTTTTAATGTCAGACGGTTCGCCATTCAACGAAGACAACTCTTTCAGATATACAGAAACCTCCTCGGAAATTTTATCAGCGAGTATGTTTTTCCCCATGCCGAGATTTCTTAGGATGGTCAACGCCACTGCTCTTTGTTCCTTCCATAGTGGGCCTGACGAAAAGACAAGTCCATTGTTTCTCGTGGGTACGTGGACACCTAGTAAATCAACAGTTGTTCTTCCCGTCAACGTGTCAGCCTGTTTAATGGTCAACTTTTTTATCAGCTCATAATCATTAATGAAAACAAAATCTTTTGCCCCCATACGAAAACTGAACACGTGACCAATTTTTTCACTCCATTCTTGGAACTGTTTTCTGGAATTTTTAGCATCTAACATATACAAGTGGCCAATAATTGGCAAGCTAATGCCTGGAGATGGTGGTAGGTTCTTAGCTCTGCTGCGCCACCAGATAATGGTGAAAAGTAGAAGAGATGAAAATATTATCCAGTTTAATGGAGTAAACGTTGAAAATAATTCAGCTAGCATCTTTGGACCTGAGGATTGACAAAAATTAACATTAAAAAAGCACTAAAAAGAGCACAAATATTTGAGCTCCAATTATCTTACCCAGAGGCGTAGCGACCCTTCCCGGCGACCGGGGACAAACTTTGCACCCCCCCGTCGAACTTTTGGTTTGCACCCCCCCCCCCTCAAACTTTTGATTTGCACCCCACCTCGAACTTTTCATTTGCACCCCCCCCCCCGTCAAACTTTCGATTTGCACCCCCCCCCCCCCCTCGAACTTTTGGTTTGCACCCTCCCCATCAAACTTCCAATTTGGCGCCCCCCCCCTAAGGTCGGCGCCCGGGGACATGTGTCCCCCCCGCCCCCCCCCCCCTCGCTACGCCTCTGATCTTACCCAGGAATGTGTCTTAATTTATGCAGGAAAACTTAAAAGCACATTATAGGTTCGGATACTTGGAGAACGAATAGAATACAATATAGCACCGAGCATATCTAGAAGTACTGCGGGGTCCCTAAGTACTGTGTCTACTCAACGAGAAATACACTTAGTCCTGAGGTGTTTTATCGATTAAGTGCACTCCAAACCACGCTAGCAACAGACAGTGCCAGTGTATTCAGGTGCCTAGCACACGTTTGTAGGCAGCTTGTTGAAAAACTAAATCTTCATATAACTTAATTAGGCTGTTTTTATCATCGTAGAGTCTGCTTAGAACTGTATTGTCCAAAAGTCACAAAGTGGAAATGTGTTGTGTAACGTGAACTTAGTTCCATTACAAATCAGATGACCATCAAAATGTTTGAGAATAAAAACTGTTTTTGTGCAACTTAAATTAGCTTATTCAAAAGCATATAAGCCTATAAAAAAACTCATCTATATATATATATATATATATATATATATATATATATATATATATATATATATATATATATACAACTTTTATTAAACATTTTCCTTAATAAAGTATCATTAAAAAAGTATTGATCACTATGCTGAAGCAAAATTAAACAACCATGTGTAAATATAAGGTTAATTACCATTACCTTTCTCCTTGCTGTCCACCAAACTGAAATCTTCTGCTGCACTGTGGCCCGGTAGGCCTGCACTGTGTCGACTGAATCAGTTTTGCAGCCAGAACTGACGTGGTCTGTGCATGTTGTAAAGTGGGTCATGGTTTGCTGGCTGTGTCTGACTTGCTTGCACTGGAAGGTCGGGTGAGAAACTGTAACAATTTATGACTGTCTAAGTGTATTATTAGCAGTGGCGAAACTAGAAAAAAAGGGCAACCCCGCAAATGTTTTTTAGCGTAGAGGGGGGGGGGGAGGTCTGTAAAGAAACTTAACAGGGAAAACAAAGCGCCGATGTGCTTCTATCCATCAGTAGTATCTCTACTACTTTTCCTAAAGCCTGTTGTAAATTGATGTAGGAAAAAAAGTCACAGGAAAAAAAATACACAGGAAAAAAAAAAACAGAAACAAGTCACAGGAAAAAAAGTCACAGGAAAAAAAGTCACAGGAAAAAAAGTCACAGGAAAAAAAAAGTCACAAATATGTATTTGCATGATATTTGTTAATACTTTTATGTATTAAGTATTTAGAGAGTGCTAATTAACTTAGGATTAATTAAATGTAATGTAATGTGTGTAGGCTGTATACGCATAGGAATTTTTATAATTCATCTAAAAATATTTATTATGAAGTATGTAGATTGTAATTATTTTAAACTTAAGATTAGTAGCATTTAATAGAATGCTCCAAAGTCCACGTTTTTCATAGTGTTTTTTTTTAATACTAATATTAAATTACCGTGAAATGGTAAGTTCATCTGACTTGCTGCCCACAACGGTCCTAGGACCTTTGACCACAGGTGCTTTGACCATAGGGGGTTTGACCATAGAGGGTTTGACCACAGCGGAGCTTTGACCATAGGGGCTTTGACCATAGGGGGTTTGACCACAGCGGGCCTTTGACCATAGCGGTGCTTTGACCATAGGGGGTTTGATCATAGGAGGTTTGACCATAGGGGTTTTGACCACAGGTGTTTTCTCAGCAGAGGGTCTTTGATCACAGGTGGTCTATCAACTGGTGTTTGATCACAAGCGCTGCGTCCGGCTTTGATCATAGGTGTTTTGTCCACATAGGGTCTTTGATCTCAGGTGGTTTGTCCACATAGGGTCTTTGATCTCAGGTGGTTTGTCCACATAGGGTCTTTGATCTCAGGTGGTTTGTCCACATAGGGTCTTTGATCTCAGGTGGTTTGTCCACATAGGGTCTTTGATCTCAGGTGGTTTGTCCACATAGGGTCTTTGATCTCAGGTGGTTTGTCCACATAGGGTCTTTGATCTCAGGTGGTTTGTCCAATGCTGTCCATATATGGTAAGGATTTATTTTAAAAGTTGCTAAATTATATTTTAAATTTCGACATGATGTAATAATATGTTAAATCATCATGTATAAATACAAGTCATCTAAACTACTCTATGTAAAAACCATGGAGAATCTTGGAGAGTATAGCACGTCGAAAAAAGGTAAAATAACTTTGTTGTATCGTGGCCACGAGTTTTGGCTACACAGAGAACGCCTGGACGGGTCACGCGTTTGGCGGTGTACGAAGAATCGCACTTGTAAGTGCAAAGCTTCAATAGTTGCACAAGATCTTGTGATTATAGGAGAGCTGATTCCTTTATATATGCTATGTATTTTCAAGTACATCTTCATTATTTATTTGTGAAACTTGTGAAACTTGTTATATGTCGCATTATTTGTGTTTCATTTATATTTAAAATAAATCTATGAGGCCTATTACCAGCCTTTATGTGGAGACTAAAATATAGTTCTTGGTTTTTTTTAAATACATGTTAATTTCTATTAACGTACTCTCAGGAAACATGTATAAAATCGTGTTAATTGTATCACACTTATGATCAAAGCCGGACAAAGCGCTTGTGATCAAACACCAGTTGATAGACCACCTGTGATCAAAGACCCTCTGCTGAGAAAACACATGTGGTCAAACCCCCTATGGTCAAACCCCCTATGATCAAACCCCCTATGGTCAAAGCACCGCTATGGTCAAAGGCCCGCTGTGGTCAAACCCCCTATGGTCAAAGCCCCTATGGTCAAAGCTCCGCTGTGGTCAAACCCCCTATGGTCAAACCCCCTATGGTCAAAGCACCTGTGGTCAAAGGTCCGCGCACCATTTCTTTTATAATTAACTTTTCTACCGCGTATTTAACTAAATACGTAACAAAAGTTGAGATTGTTGTGTTAATTATCTTAGAGTATTTTTACTTACAACTGTTAGGAATCATAATGCTTTTAACGTCTATAAATAATTTATGTTATAAAAAAATACAACCCACAACAATAACCATACACAATTTTACAATTCTTAACAAATTAATAAAAAATATTTCTAAAAAGATTTGTGTGACTTTTTTTCTGTGACTTTATTTCTGTGACTTTTATTCCCGGTAAAATTTTTCCACTGTGACTTTTTTTCTGTGTTTTTTTTTTCCTGTGACTTTTTTTCCGTTCACCGCTCATTTCTGGCCTGATCGGTTTGCGAAATACCTAGCTGTACTTTCCACACTTCTCACATTTTATCAGACACTATTCATGTATCTATTGGCTACTTGTAAGGCTAAGAGCGAGGAGGGGGAGGTCTGTAAAGAAACTTAACAGGGACAACAAAGCGCCGATGTGCTTCTATCCATCAGTACCGAAGCTGGGATGGTCTCAACTACTTTTTCTAAAGCCTATTGTAAATTACTCAAGGGAAAGAATTCAAATCATACACGTTTACTATCACAAATTTTGTAAAACAAAAATAGGTAAATCGATTTAAAAAACAAAAATATTTGTCTAATACAGGAAAGTAAAAAAAATTTAGTTCTACCTATACAACAAACATTTTACATTGTAAAATCACAATTGATTGTGGGCCCCTTTTCAACGCTTTAAAGAAGAAAAACTCGTTGCTATATCTAGCGCCCTCTCTAGCAATGGACTTTTATTTTTTTAAAAAGAATGTTGCCGACAACAGCTTGTTTGAGTGTAGGAGAAAGAGGACTCGGCTTTCACAATGGTTTAAGAACAAAGGGAAAAAGAATATACAAGAGCGTGGGGTGGTGTCTGTAGAATAAATGTAATCCAACCGCAGCTACAGTATACTCTTTACGAAACAACAATCAGGTAAAAAATACAAGAAAATTACATCTTTATAAAAAAATTGTTTATGTTCGGCTGTGGGCCCCTAAACGGCGTGCCCCCTCCTCCGCATTGTGGGGTCTGGCGGCACTGTAGTTCCGCCCCTGATTATTTTGCGTTCATTATTACTTTAATCCCAAGCAGCCATTAATGAGTAAGCCATTTTAGACTACACTGTACCTTCTGACATTGCTTATAACAAAAGACACCATTATTCTATTCATCATCATCTTTTCCCGTTCATGCCCAAGACATGCCCGAGGAAGTAGAGTTGATATGTTTTAAATCACGCCACCATATGAAGGGATAGTATGAACTGCATTATGCTCAGCGGTCTTTGTTTACCTAACGTAAGTCAGGTACCATTTAGAGCTGGGTGAACTCAGGGACGTCCTTCAGAGAAGAGAACAAACCTTTGTGCCCGAAGACAAACGGTCTACCAACATATATCCTCCTCATTCGTATCTAACGAAATGTCCCTTCCCTATTATACACGTTGCATATGCAACCATGAGCTTTACCGACTCGACCGCGCCGACCACAATCGTCATCATCAAATATGAGAATGGGGTCGGCGTGGTCGAGTCGGTAAAGCTCATGGTTGCTGAACCGAAAAGTCGCTAGTTCGAACCCCCGGGCAGATGAAGCTCGTTAGCTGGGGACAGCCACTCCTCTTATAGAGACAACTCCAAAATCAAACAACTGCTGCCTTGTAGTTTGTTCTTGGTTGGACAAAGGCTATGGAAGCAAATCCAAAAAGAAAAGCAGTCTGAAATGGCGCATAACCAGTTGACACGGGATAGGCTCCGGAAAAAACGGGGAAAAAAACTTTTTAATTAAAAAGCCTTTTACATTTATTTGTGTATGTATAAGTTAGGGTACTTAAGGAAAAATATTTGGATGTACCAGGGACTCTTCTGAAAATATGGTTGCCATGGAAACGGCGGCCATCTTGGAAAAAACTACCTATGTGGAGTTCTAAAATTTCCTAAAGTAACATATAAACCGCCCATATAATCATTGCTCTTTATTGTACTAACACCAATAGAGCCAGCTGGCTAATTTTTGTAACCGAAAAACAGCTAGACATATTTTTTTCAAATTTTCAAAAAACATTTTGGTGAAATTCTATGGAATTTAGCATTATTTTCATTGGAATTTCGTCACACCAAATTTTGAAAATTAAAAAAAAAAAAATTTCTAGAGTGTTTTCTGTTACAAAAACTAGCCAGCTGACTCTATTCGCGTTAGTACAAGAAGGATCAATGGTTATATAGCCGGTATTTATGTTAGTTTATGAAATTTTAGAACTCCAGAAAAGGATTTTTTTTTCAAAATGGCCGCCGTTGCCATGGCAACCATATTTTCAAAAGAGTCCCTGATGAATGGAAATATTTTCCTTCAAGTACCCTAACTTAGATATACAGAAATGAATCAATAAAAGCTTTTAATTAAGAAGTTGTTTTTTTTCTGGAGCCTACCCCCTTAATTGTGATGGAGGCGTGGTCGAGTCGGCAAAAGCTCAATCCCTTCCAACACTAAAATTAAGAACGAAGAAGAAGAAGAAGAAGAAATATGAGAATGTTCCCCAGCCATCAATCACAAAATGACGCCCTAGTCATCCCACGGTCAGTCCTGACTGCTAACCAGCGTGTCAGGCATTAATCAAAACTGACATGACAGGCTCTGGTTCACCACCCCCCACCCGCTAAGTTATGGTCAGTTTCTGGCCACACCGGCTGGTGAAAGAGAGTAAGGTGGCCATCCCCCCCCCCCCACCCCCACCTACGGGTCAGACCCGGTCTAACAGGTGATAAAGCAGGTGGTGGTCGTAACAATACATTATATATATATATATATATATATATATATATATATATATATATATATATATATATATATATATATATATATATATGTG